CAGAAGGATTTGGGGCACCCATTTGGTGGCAGCTGAAAATTTGTCGATGGATTGCGTATCGCTGTATCGTGGGTAAGGGAATATTTATTTGTATTTTTTTCTTTTTGTACAAATTTTATTGGCTATAAGGAATACGAATCTTCCTTTTTTTTTTAGATGTGAAATTTCATTAGCATTGTCACAAATTTGATTTCTTTTTTTTGATAATTACATTTATTTGATGGCCAACAAATGAGTTCTCCCCCCCACTCCCCCCGCAGTTTTCCTTCGAGTTTTCCCGTTTTCCCTGTTGCGAGTGGGATTTTTGGGGAAGTAATTAGGCAAAAAACTTGGGCAACTTTTCTTTGGTTTTTGTTTTATTTTATTTTGTTTTGTTTTTATGCTATCATCTCACGTTTGACGAGCCTTGACATGGGAAATAGGCCAAAACAAAAGAAAACCAAAGCCTAGGATAGGAAATTGGGAGAAAAGGCACAAAGAAAAAGAAAAACACAGCCGGAACGCAGACGTGACACGACACCGAGATACCCGGTGTTTGTTCTCAAATTGGATAATATTATATAATATTAAACAAAAAATACTAACACAATTTTGAATATCATGAATAAATACCAACATAATTGCAAAATGAGCAACTCATGGCAAAGCAGTTGAAAAATACCACAAAAATACTGGAAAAATACTAAAACACACAAACAAAAAAAAATAATAAAAATTGGTTAAAAAAATACCAAAACATACTAAGAGTAAATACTGAAAAATACTAAAACATATAAACAAAAACAACAAATACAAATTAGTTAAATAATACTGAAAAGATACTAAAAGTAAATACTGAAAAATACTAAAACAAAAACCAAAAAAAAACAAAAACAAAAACAAATAAAAATTAGTTTAAAAAAATACCAAAAAATACTGAACAACTACAAATACTGAAAATTAGTAAAAATAAGTACTGAAAAGTATTCAACATAAATACTGAAAAATACTTAAATTAATGCATACAAAATCACAAAAAAAAGGGTAGAAATTGCTACTAAAAATTAATTCCGAAAATAACTTTAATAACTATACAAACCACTTATTAAAACCCCCTGGAAAAATACTAAAACAATACCTGAATCCCAAAAAAAAATACAGAAATATTGCACTATGTACAAACGAGTTTGCACTGATACGGCTCATGGCTGTGGCATGAATGGTCCTCGAAAGCCTCTGCCACACATGTACATTTATACGAATTAAATATACCCCATTTGGGGCGTGAATACAGGGTACAACCAGAGGCCTTGTCAATTTTCTACGTGCAACCCATAAACTTGATGTGTAATTTCTGTGTTTTTCTTTTCTTTCGAGAATAGAGAACTTTTACAAATTCTATTACAAGTTTTAAAATTGTATTACGAGAAAGAGGAAGCACTCCCTCTCGCTCTCTCAAATAAACCATAACTAATGGGGAGAGCAAGGAAAACTCTTAAAAGATGGATACTTTTGAAAGGAAATTCTTGGAGACAAATATACAGAAGGTGAAATGGCAAAATGAAACGAAACACAGCCATATTTCAATTTAATATAATTAAATAGAAACAAATTTATACTATAAATACCAAATACTTGCCAATAAATATAAATAAATAAGAAACATAATTGTTTTAAATGTGAAATATATTTAGATAAAATATTTTCTTGCCTTGCCTTTCAATAAATCCATTCTCGGTGCAAATTGTATGGAATAAGTATTTAAACTCTTTGGTTCTGCGGTATTTTTTCTCCGAGTGTACCACTGCCATAATCAGTTTTGGGTAAATATTCAGTAATTGCAGTAAATTTTACTATTGAAAGGATATTTGATGGCTTGAAAGGCGATGCAGCGCAAGGGGATTGATGGGATTCTTGGCGATTTCTTTGTGACTGCAATCGAAAGTGCCACGTGAATCCGTTAATCCATCCAGCGACGAAAGTTGCCGGGCAGCAGCAGCCAATATATTGAGCTATAATCGATATTCGGTAAACGTTCAATCCGAATCAATCGTGAATCAGAGGTGGCGAAAAGGCTTACCAATTGGCCTCCATCTCGCAGGTGGAGGCCACCAATTTGGGGCAGCGATCAGCTGCAGATTGGCCTTAAGCTGGAGCAGGTCTGCAGGTCTCCTTCGACTCCGTTGAGTCGCTGCTGTCGATCTCCCATCAAGCGGAAAGCCAGAAGGGGGATGTCCTCGAGAGGCGTCGGGAATCTTTAAAATGGAAACTTTAATGCCACAAATAAGTGGCAGCATAATAGCCAAATGTGAAGCCTTTGATGGGCATTTGAATACACCAAAGAAAATACCGAAAAAAGAGGAATAATCCGGGTATCGTAAACTCTTTATTGTGTCTGTTAGACATGCGAATAGAATGTATAAACCATAACTAATCGGGAGAGCAAGGAACCCTCTTGAAGGATATACATTTGAAAGGAAATTCTGCTAGAAAAATATAGAAATTTGCAGCATTTAAAGCCGCTTAGCAGCAGTTTTCAGTTTTCATGTGCCCCACAAAAATAAACAAAAAAAAGAAAAGAAAAAGAGAGAAAAAAAGAAAACACAAGAAGAGGAAAAACTAAAGTCGAAGGAAAATTGAGTGCTAGCGTAGGAGGGAAAACACATCGCAAACAAAAGTAAATGAAATTTCCGCTTAGAACAAGACTCCCGCACTCTGGCACACTCCTTGAAGTGTGTATCTTTTCAGTGTATCAATAACTGCAGATACTCGGATGCTCGGATATGCGATATAGGATATGGGAGGCATGGGGCAGGGCGGCAGGGCAGGGGCCTGTGACAAGTAGAAGGTCCTCTGGCTCTTTGTTTGTGCTGCCAAATGAAGGCGAAGCCGAAGCCTCCTGCCGCCTGCCTCCTGTCTTTTGTTTGTTTGTTTTTTTGCAATTTGAAGTGCCGGAAATATGCTTTAGCTTTATGGGTTTTTAGCGCCCTCTCTCCAATCTCCACTTCATCCAATCTTCGCCCCTTGAAACTGCTTCCAAATTACTGCGTCTAGCCGCACTTTGGGGCACAGAGAGAGAGAGAATCGTTGTCGGAGATAGATAATATCTTTTGATTAGTGGCAACCGCACAAAACTTTAATTAAATTCTCGCACACACAACTCTCTGCTCTCTTCTCTCCGCTCCTGCTGCTGCTCCTGCTTCTGTGTGGCGAAAGTTTATGCAGCATTTGCCCTGCCATGTCACCAGATATAAGTTTTCCCTACAAACCGAACGAAGGGACACTCATGGGCGCGAGCGAGAGAGAGGGAGGGAGACAGAGGGTCCAGAAGAGTTCCTTTGTTTGCCATTAGACCAGAGAGCCAGGAGAACCAAAGAACCGGAGCAGCGGAGCACCAGAGAGCGGAGGCTTTAAGTTTTCAAATAGAATATTCGAAAGACAAAAAAAAAGGCAGAGCGTGTGGGGACCGACAGATACCTCGTAGTGGAGTTGGAGGAGATTGCATCTCTGAAACCTGAAAAACCCTTTTTTTCCTAGGGGCATACCAAGTATGATGCTTCACTTAATGGTTTCTTTTTTCGAATAATCCAATCGAATACCTTATGAAAAGGCAGTAAAAAAGTATTATTCCTATAAAGCTTCGTTTCTTGAGGATTTAAGCAGATCTCTCCCTGAGAGTGTTTAAAAATTATGAGTGAAAGCTACGCTTAAGAGTCGATGGAGAGTGAATATTGATTGAAAATATATTTTCTGCATTCTGGAAACTTGTTTTCTTCACTTTTGCTGGTAAAACGTCCTCCAAACGCTGTAAAGTTTTCAACATCGGTATTAAATGCAACTATTGCATCGGTATTGAGGGACTGCCGATACCACATGGTTTTGCGCCTATTATTTCCAACACCTAGAGGTTTTTATAGGTACAAATGGTTATACCAACGGAATTTATTGATACGAATCAAGAATTTTAACCTTTTTTTTAACCTTTTTAGCCTTGAAATCAGTTTTTTCCAGGAAAAGCGAGGCACCGTCACGTTTGGAAATTATTTCCCTCCGAATCAACCGATTGTGGATATATCTTGGGAGGATAGGTCGCTACTGAAACCGTTTTGGACTCTCCAAAGTTGTACCAAAGCGCATTCATTGTACTTTTTCGATTCTACAGCTTCCTTCTGGTGTGTTTTCTGCTTGAAGGACTACCTCGCCTGGGAACCACATGTTCGCTTAATTAATTTTCAGATTTTTGCCAATGGCTTCATGCCGCAACCATATACCCTGCTACTCCGTTATTGCCAGGGCATCGAAAAGAAAGGGTGAACATTCCCCCCGAATGGAAATGGAAAACTTTTCGCACAGAAAAGTTATATGCCAATATGCGAACAGGACGGGTGGGGGGTCTGGGGGGGTTTGGACTCTTCTAATGAATTAATTAGTTGATTTTTCGGGAGGTGGGGGCCACAGTAACCCGAAACTTGCCACAAGCCACCACACTTGAGGGGGCAGGCAGGCAGGCAGGCAGGCAGCACTTGAGAAATTCATGAATTGTTTATACATTTTATAAAGTATTTCATTTATTTATTTATTTCATATATGGTTTTTCTATAACTTTAAGGACATACGAGTTTGTCTGTGTGTGTGTGTGTGTGTGTGCCATAAATATCCATTTTGCCACTAGTATCCGAGGGTATCCACGGGGGCAAGGGCAACAGGCGTCAGCGAGGTGGCAAAGAACCGAATACTCGCCCCCCCGCCCCGCCCCCCCCAGAAGATGATTCAACATATCCCTCGAATGTTGCACCATTTGTTCTGGGATATTTTGAATTATTTTCCGGGTGGGGGAGGGGGGGGGGGGAGGGATTCGTCGTTGGATGGTGTTTTGGGGATTAAACATTTCGGTGCCACACTCCCTGGCCTCTGCGGCCCGATGCCACCCACAAAAATGGAGTCTCGTATCTTTTGTGTGGCAGGCATTTATGTACTTTTTCTGTTTTTCGTTTGACTCTTTCGATTTTGTTTTTCTTTTTTTTGGATACGATTTATCACAGCTTACAAAAATAAAATCATAAAATCAAAAACTCTAAGGATTAGAACTCTTTATATATGTAGATCGTGTAATGGCATCCCATCGGAGCCACGCCCACACGCGGGGCGGGGAGGGGACGCACACTCGTTCATCCAGATACATTTCTTCGCTCGCACTTTCCGTTCGAGTGGAGCCCGCACTCCCCCCCCCAACTGTGTGGGCATCGCTGGCACAATGGGATCTATCGATCAATCAATCAATCAATCATTACACCAATCTGTACATCATTCATTCAAAAGTACAAAAAGCTAGTAAAATCAAAGGAAAGGGGGATCGGGGGATGGGGGGATGGGGAATTGGGGGTAGGGGGAAAATATGCTTAAACTATGACTAAAGTTTTTCATTCGTTTGTCGTTTTTTTTTTTTGTTGTTTTTCTCTCTTGATGATTGACTTATTTGAGGCTCTTCTTCTTTTTGCTGCTGCTGGGGATCTGCGCCCACAGCCTGAAGAAGTACTCGTCGCGTTGCAGGAGCCTGCCCCGGGCATACGAATGGATATCGGCGTCCATGTTGTGGTCCCTCAGCCACGACGAGGTGTTGCAAGTGCTCATCTCAGTGCGTGGCTCGTCGGGCAGGCTTTCATGACCTGCAAAACGGAGGAAAAACGGGGGAATGATCTCTTCCTCTCTTCTGCCTGGAGGGCAAATCCCCTTCTGTTGATGCCTACCTGCTGTCATGACCTTGTAGGGCTCCTCCGATTCGAGAGGTTCGCTCAGACCGATCTCGTTCTTGGCGAATATCCGTATCATGTACTCGTGGTTCTCCTGCAGATCCCGGATCTGGAACCGCTGCACACCGGCCGGCACACGACCCACCTCTATCCACATGGTCTTCTTCATGTCGCGTATGGCAATGTGGTAGCCGAGCAGTGGCGCACCACCATCTGACTCGGGTATACCCCATTCGAATATGTGAGCATTGGCGGCTAGGACACGCGCCTCCAGGGGGGCAGTCGGCGGCGACGGAACGGCTGCGGAAAGGGGATACAAGAAGGGATTTCACGTTAAAGAGGGAATCTCGAGGGAGGAGGGCTTCCTGGGAGCCTTACTGGCATGTGTCTTGAGGGATATGCTCTCGGTGACGGCCGGGGCACCCAGGCCCATCTCGTTCTCAGCCGAGACACGGAACCAGTATTCGCATTTCTCCTTCAGATTATCGATCGTGTAGTGCAGCTGATGTGCATCTAGGGTTATGACCTTCGTCCAGGTCGTCGACGTCGAAGAGCGTTTCTCCACGCAGTAACCTGTGGAGAGAGCAGGAGACAGTTTTATGCGGGCCCTTTTGTCCACAGCTCTATCCAGGGTTTACCTGTGATTTCGGAACCACCGTTGCGCGCTGGAATCTCCCAATCGAGGGTCACGCTGCGGCTCGTCACGTCTGGGGCTCGCAGATTCTGTGGAGGCGATGGCGGGGCTGCAGGCAAAACAGAAAGAACGATTAAGGTTTTCCCCCTACTTCTCAGGGCTATGGTTTTCTACCTACCCATCGTACCAGGATCGTTTTCATTAGCTGTGTTAGAAGTGGCAGCAAAGCATTAGAAGCGTTTGTGTTTTTGTTTGACGAAAAGCAAAAGCAAAAGCAATAAGCATAAGGAAAAGCTTGGGTTTTGAGCGGAAAAAACTCACTTATTTTACGACCCACGAGGATCTTTTCTGTGGTCTCGTAGGCCTCGCTGGTGCCCGCCTCGTTGCGGGCGTAGATCCTGAAGAAGTAGCCCTTCGTGCGCAGGACCTGCTCCACATGGATGTTGGTGACAGTGCCCAGGGTAACGCCCACCGAACGGTAGACGGTTTCAGTCTCTTCCCTGATCTCCACGATGTACTCGAGGATCTTGGAGCCACCATCGCTCTCGGATGGCTCCCAGGCCAGGGTAAAGGAGGTGTCGTTCATGCCCGAGACATTGGTGGGGCCGCGCGGGGGTGAGGGTTTTTCTGGGGGTAATCAAGATACAGAATTGATACACCCATATTGTAGGTGTTTGATGATCTGCTTACCAAACTTCTTGGTTATCGTCACGGTCTCCGATTCCGTGGGCTCCGACTCTCCGATGGGATTGGCGGCCACCACACGGAACATGTATTGCGAGTTCATGGACAACTTTTGGATGGCATACGAGTGAATGTCCTTGTCAAAGTCGGACACCTTCATCCAGACGTTGTTCTGGACGTCGCACTTCTCGAGCGTGTACTTTTGGATGTCCAGACCGCCATCGTCCACCGGCGGTGTCCACTCCAGGATGATCGAGTCCTTCTTCACGTCCTTGATCTCCAGGGACTGCGGCCGGCTGGGCTTGTCGATCACCTGGACCGTGCACTCGACATACGAGGAGCCCGACTCATTCGTGGCCGTCACCTTGTACTTGCCAGAGTGTTCGCGGCTCAATTTCTTCACGGAATACGTCGATGTGGTCTCCGTGGTCTCAATGGACGTCTGTTCTGTCTGCTCGACGGAGTCCTTGTGCCAGGCGACCGTGGGCCGGGGATAGCCGCGCACCGTTGCTGGAATGGTGAGAGTGCTGCCTGTGCGGAGCTTCTGCTGCAGATACTTGTCCTCCACCTCGACGACGGGCCTCTGTTGCAGCTTCAGTCTACAGGAGGTCTCCACGGAGCCCCTCTCGTTGCTAGCCACACACGTGTACGTGGCTTCAGTCTCAATTGTTGTCTTTTCGATAATATATTTGGCCACACGGTTCTCGTAGCGCAGGCTGCTCGACGACTCGAACACCTGTCCGTTCCTCTTCCACACGACCCTTGGCTCTGGAATGCCGCCAAACACGCAGGACAGCGTGACCTCCTTGTCGAGCTCCGAGCACAGGTCCTGCAGGGGTTCGCGCACACTGGGCGCCTCGGTTTCGACCTTCGGCACCAGGCGAATGGGCGGCGACAGCGGCGATGGCGGGGAGGGTCCCACCTCGTTCACGGCTATCGAACGGAACACGTATTCAGTGTCGATCTTCAGCTTCGAGATGGTGTACGTGGTATCCTTGATTTTACGTATTTCAGTCCATCTGCAAAAACACAAAAAAAAAAGCTGGAATTGGGATCTTTTTCTTTTGGAAGAAACAACAAGAAGGGCGAAAAAACCTTTCCATTATGTTTTTGCTCCAAGGACAGTGCGTGGGCCTGAGCATATAGGGGTATGTGGATGTGTGTACCATCCAGAAAGTAGCATTTCGGACACCATAAAGTACAGAATCAATATCCGAGTCAATATAGTCCCAATGAGCGCCTAGAACTGTCTACCAGTTTGCCGAATCTGATTCAGATCGGATCATTATTATAGCCAGAATGAACAAATCAATTTTGCAGTGGCTACGCCTACCCCTTCCACGCACTTACTCATTCTATCACTGTCCCTCTCTCACACACTCTTTCTGCTGCAGTGCTGCGGTCGTAGCGACTTCCCCCTCCTTTTTGCTTCGTTCACTGCCGGCCAGTGTCGGGTTCTTCTGCCTGAGAGATCGGCTTCTTTTTTTCTCTCTCTCTCTCGCTTGCACACAGCTTTGCAAGGCAATTTGTATTGCATTTTTTTTGTCTGCTTTATGTTGTTTTTGTGCTCGAGAAATAATCTGCAAAGCGATAAGCGCCTCAACAACAACAAATGGACGCTGGTCTGGTTGAAGTTTTTGCTCATTTGCTTTTGTCTTGTATTTGTTTTTGTTTCAGGAAGTTGCAAAAGGGTGCGCGGGGTGTCAGGTAGAGAAAGGAGACCGCGATGCTTGGATTTTTTCTGTCTTTTTTCAGTGGGCAGATCTCGCATGCGATAAATGTATTGAGTGTGCCAGAGCAAAGCTCTCCCATGCTATCGTTCGGGCGATGCTTTCTTTAGAAATGCAATTTTAATGGACATAGCCATTTAAAGGCTCAATAAATTGGCCAGAAACAATGGAAGATGTTCTTGGCGCAGGCTGTCATATTCGATATAATCCCACCGTCAGAAGGGGGGCCTTGTTGAGTGGCAGGGGGAGGGGGGGGTGCTACTTACTTTTCTTCCTTAACATCATGGTATTCGAGAATGTATTCAATTATTTCGGACTTTCCATCATCCTCGGGTGCCTTCCAGTACAGCGTAATGGAGTCATGCATCACCTCCAGTGGCTGCGGAGTGCCAGGTGCCGTGGGTTTGCCTGCCGAAGGAAAGGATAGGATTATTTTAATTATGATTTGGGTCTTGCCACAGTTAGTGGCAGTGGCAGCTGTTGTACTTACGCATTATAACCAAATGTAGGCTGGCCTCTGCCTCGCCCACGGGATTCACCAGCTTCACCGTGTACTCGCCCTCGTCATCGTCGACAACCTTTCGCAGGGTCAGGGTGGCACACTGTTCATCAATCGATGGAGTAACGCGCTTTGACTTGGGTATGACAACATTCCGGGTGGTCCAAACGGCCTCCGGCTGGGGGGCACCGCCCGTGTACTTGACAGTGAAGGTGGCATCCTCGTTCTCCTTCACCTTCAAGGTCTGCTCCTTGTCAGAGGTAATGACGGGCGGCAGCTTGAGCTCCTCAACGCACAGCTTTGTGCTGCTGGTGACGTTCTCGGCCACACAGCTGATCTCGCCGGCATCCTCGTCGCCGGCCTCATGGATGACCAGGCGCCGGACAGTGCCCTCGACGAATACCTCATGCTTGGGATTGGGTTTGATGGGCTTACCCTTTTTGAACCAAGTGACCTCCACATCGGGCTGCGACAGCTCCACCGTGAACTCGGCATCGGTGGTCTTCGTGGCCAAGGTGACGTCTGGCAGGCGGACGACAAAGTCCACCAGTGGCTCCTCCACTGTCAGAGTGGCCTTGGAGGTTTGCTCGCCCACTTGGATGGAATATTCGCCGGCATCCTCTGGCCTGGCCTTGACTATGCGCAGGGCCTGCTTCTTGCCGTCGATGGCCAGTTGAACGCGGTCGTTGAACACCAGCTCCTTGCCGTTTTTGAACCACTTGACCAGGGCGTCGCCCTTGCTGAGCTCCAGCTCAAAGATGGCGTTCTCTCCCTTCGTGACGGAGACATCCTCCAGGGGATGGATGATCTCGGGCGGGAGCTCGATGACCGTGAGCTCACAGGAGCACTCGTGGCCCTCGATTTTGCAGGTGTACTCGCCCTCGTCGTGGATGGTCGTGTCGCGGATGACCAGACGACGCGACTTGCCGTCCTTGATGAATTCCACATTCTTGTTTTCGATCGTGATCTTCTCGCCGTCCTTGAACCAGGTGACCTCGGTGGCCTCCGTGGTCAGTTCGACGTCCAGAATGGCCGTATCCTTTTCGGTCACCTCGTAGTCCTCGAGGACCTTGATGAAGTCGGGCTTGCGCTGAAGGACCTCCACGGTGGAGGTGGTCTCCTGCTTCTTGACCTTGCACACGTACGTGCCGGAGTCCCTCAGATTGGTGTTCCGGATGACCAGCTTGTGCGTTTTGCCGTCCTCGACGACCACTCGGTGGTCCATGCCGGAGAGCTCTTTGCCGTTGAAGAACCACTTGGTGGTGACGACGTGGGAGGTCTCGCACTCGAGCGTCAACGATTGCACCTCCTCGATGGTGATGGTTTTCTTTAATTTCTTCGTGAACGTGACCTCGTCGACCTCCACGATCACGCGGGCGCCATGCGATGTCTTGCCAATGGGATTGCTGGCAATGCACTTGTAGTCCCCGGAATCGGTCTCCGGGTTGGCATCCTTGATGATCAGCTCGATCGTTTCGCCATCGTAGATCTGCTGGATGCGTTCGCTGGGGAACAGAGGGGCGTTGTTGAACAGCCACTGGACCTCGGGCACGGGATTGCCCGAGACCTTGGCGGGCAGACGTATCTCCCCCTTTTGCGGGACATTTTGCTCCTCGAAGCGCTCCACAAACAGCGGCGGCTCTGCATTTCCACTGGTGGGTTCTACGGGATGGAAAGAAGTAGCCACAAATTAGAGAATTTTCCGCAGGGAAAGACATCCTTCTATGCTGTAAGACACGGAACAAAACCTACCTTCAATCGTCAGATTGGCAGTGGTTTCCACACTGCCCAAGGGATTGACCGCCTTTACCGTGTACTCGCCCTTTTCGGACTTCTTGGGGGTGATCAGCGTCAGGGTGTGCACATCCTTGTCGGACTTGGCGTTCTTAACGGGCTTACCGTCCTTGTACCACGTGACCTTCGGCGGGGGATTGCCCACGATGTGGGTGGACAGGACAACGCTCTCGCCCTCGCGTATGACCATGTTGCGCAGTGGCTCGAGGATCTGGGGCGCCTCCTTCTGGCTGGTGCGCACCTTGAGGGTGATGGGCAGACGTGCCTCGCCCTCGCGATTGGTGGCAATCACCTCGTAGACGCCCTCCTGCGACTTCTTCACCTTGGTGATGTGCACCACGCTGCAGTACATGTGCATGTCCGATTCGGTGACGACTCGAATGTTCTTGATCTCCTCCTCGTCGATGTCCTCCCCGTTGAAGGTCCAGACAATGTCGGGCTCTGGCACAGCCACCAAACGGCACTCGAGAATCACGTTCGTGTTCTCGTCGACATACTGCGCCTTCGGCTTCTTCGAGAAGGTGGGCGGTATGCCCTCCAGAATGTCGGCCAGTGAGGACTCACGGGACATGCTGCGGCGCGACAGGGCAGTGGCGTCTGAGCCGTGATCCGACAGTGGACTCTCGACAATCAATTCCGTGGTGCTGGACGTGAAACCGGCGGCATTCTTGGCCACGCACGTGAATTTGCCAGCGTCCTCGGGGAACACCTCGCGAATGATCAGAGTGGCGACGTTATCGTCATCGTAGAAGATCTGGAAATCCTGCGAGGGCTTGATGATGGCCGTCTCGCGGAACCAGGCGATCTGCGGCCGAGGGCTGCCCTCGACCTTGCACTCGAACTGCACCGTGTAGCCGTCGGGCGTGTGGATGGGCTGCAGTTTCTCAATGAAACGCGGGGCAACGGGCTTGTCTTCGGGTCCCGGGCCTTAACAGATTCACAAAATCACAGAAAAACAGAACAACGATCATCGGTTTGTTAGTGAAACAATAAACGAGGACAGCAACAATACTCTCACAGTGGTTTTAGTTGGATCAAAGATTGGAGAACGCAGCGGGAGAGCCTAAGCTGTCCTCCCGGTTCATGGTTCTTCAATCTTTACACAGGATTCGAAAGAAGAATCAACTTACGTTCAAAGACCGGCAGCTTGTCGATCTTCTCGTGGAGCTTGTTCTGCACATACTGTGCATACTCCTCGGGCTCCATCAGGTACTGGGCTGGCACCCAGCCCTCCTCCTCGGTGATGCTCTTCTTCACGTACCACCACTCGGAGCTGTGGCGTCCCACCACGGTGACCTTTTCACCTTCCACCAGATTGATGGCCTCATCGTTGTCGGCAATGTAGTTGCATATCGAATACATGATATTGGGATTTTCAGATTCTAAAAGGTGCGCAAAGAGTGGAACGTAAGTGGAGGGTACTTTTGGGGAAGGAGGTGTACTCAGATTCCCATAAACGAAAGAGAATATTCAAAGAAATTTCTGTTTCGCTATAGAAAATGTCTCCATAAGGGAAACGAATCATTCAAAAACTCGATGTAGAAATTTCCCATAAGCGATTAGGCACATTTATTTCGTAAAATACAAACATGGACCATACGCCACGAGTGCTTCTAGGGCTTAATGTATTTGAATTATTGAAAATATTCAAGAAAAAGATTTAATAAAATTTTTTCAAGAAAAATTGAGTGAAATTTTGTAGTAAATTTATCATTGGAGGAGTATTCTGCGAATTGCCAATGGAACAGTGATTTTTGAATTGAAACATTGGCAAAGGAACATGACCCTTGATAATGGAACATTGGTAATGAAACTTTTGTGTTGAAACCTCTTTCTTTCATTACAATTGGGACTGGGACAATGGAACAATGATAATAGAACATGGATAAAGTGAAACAGTGGCCATGGAACATACCTTCGACATTCATTTCCCTGGTGATATTCAGCGAGGCGCCATCTGTACCGAAAGAGAAAAACAATGTTAATTTTCATTCCAGCGAAAAGTTCCAGAGATTTTTTATTTTTGTTGCAACAATAAATGGGTGGGTGGGGTGTGGGGTGGTTATGCATTAGCTACTGACACACAAATACTTTTGTCGGGTAAACATTTTACCTTGCCACACGCTGTGATATCATATAAGCAGAATGTATATGTTTTTTGTTTGTTTTCAGATTGAATAAAGCATTAGATTCCTCGCTCTAGACCTCTAGAGGCGGGAGCCCGACTTACCTTCATTGTAGAGTTGTTGGATAACCTTTCGCTTCTTTTTGAATGTCAGCGAATCCTCATCGTAGGTGATGGAGTCCCGCTTGGGCTGCCGGATGCCAATCAGGAACTGTTCCTCCTCCTCGTCCTGAACGGAGTAGCTGGGCTTTGGCTGCTTCTTGGGCTTCAGCTTGAAGTCGACCTCATCCGGCGGCAGCTCTTCCACCATGTACTCTTCGGGCTCCTCGACCTCATCGATGGTGTCCTCGTCGTCGCGTATTTCTTCGATGACTTGCTCCTGGCCATCGTCGTAGTCCTGCATGATCTTAATCTTTGCCTCGTCGGCGGCCTCGTTGTAGGTCTTCTTGATGGGTTTCTTGATCTTGATCTTGCCAGACATGGAGACCTCCTCCTCCGCGTAGGAGTCGAGGGCAATATTGAACTCCTGGTCGACATCCTCCTTGGTCTTTGTGCTTCTCGCACGGAAGGTCACGTTCTCCGTTTCCCCGTACTCTGGAATGTCCACCTTCTTCCGGCGCAGCTGCTTCTTCACGGTGTAGGCCTCCTCGTCCTCTTCGGTGATTTGCAGTGGCTTCTTCTTGGCCCTGGCGCTGACGACAAACTCTTCGATGTCCTCGCCCTCCTCGTACTCCTCTTCCTGGCGTTGGATGGACAGCTCGGCGGCAGCCTCGTCCAGGGTTTGCGGCTTCGCGGGGCGTTTCTTCAGGACAGTGCCGGTCTCTTCTACGCCCTCGTTGATCGTGTGGGGCTTCTTGAACGAGAGACTGAACTCGGTTTCCTCGTGCTCCTCCACTGAGGGTTCGAAAGGCTTCTTGGGCTTGCGGCGCACTATGACGGCCTCTTCGATGATTTCCTCCTCTTCGATTTCCACGGGCCTCTCCTCGACGACGGTCTGTTGCAGCTGCAACTCATCGGCGGCCTCCTCCACGGGTTTCTGTGGCTTCTTCTTCTTCTTGAGTTGCACCGTTTGATCGGAGGTCTCTTCGGTGACGATCTTCTCCTTTGGCAGCTTGACATCCACAGAGAATTCCTCTTCCTGGATCTCCTTGGGGGCCTTGGGCTTCAGTGTGACTTCAGCAACCACTTCTTCCGGTTCGACAGGTTCGGGTTTCTTCAGTTTGATCACGGCAGCATCCACAATGTCCTCGGGGACGGGTTCCGCCTTGGGAGCCTTCTTTTTCTTCACTTGCACCTCCTCGACGATTTCTTCTTCGACAATCGGTTCGGGGATGACCTCCTCTTCGATCTTGACGGTGAGTTCTTCGGCAGCGACCTCTTCCACGGGCTTCTTGGGCTTTTTCTTGACAATCTTTGCCTCTTCCTGGACCTCTTCGACCTTTGGCTTGGGTTTTAGGGTGACCTCAGCCTCGGGTTCCTCCACGACTTCGGGTGCCTTGGGTTTTTTCTTGGGCAGACGCACCTCTTCCTCCTTGGGCGCCTCTGGTTGTACCTCTTCGATCTCTGGCTGGGTCTCCGTGATGCCAATGGTGTACTCCTTGGGTTTTTCTTCGGGTACCTCTTCAGGCTTTTCTTCTGGGACCTCCTCGATCTCCTCAACGATTTCCTGGACCAGCTCTGGCTCTGCGGGCACCTCCTCTGTGATGGTTACCTTGAGCTCGGCGGCAGCCTCTTCGACTGGAGCCGCCTTCTTGGGCTTCTTTTTGATCTTGGCCTCCTCGGAGACCTCTTCCACGGGCTTCTTGGGCTTCAGTACAAACTCTGCCTCGGGCTCTTCCACCACTTCGGGGACAACTACTGGGGTCTTCTTTTTCTTCTTCTGCAGCGTGACCTGCTCCTCGGGCAGCTCCTCGACAGTGGGGACGGGCGTCTCCTCGATTTCCTCAATCTCTTGGACGAGCTCCACTTCGGGGGCCTGCTCTTCGATGACGGTGATCTTGAGTTCGGCGGCCTCCTCTTCGGTGGGTTGTTCGGGGACGATGGTGATGCTGGAAACAGCCTCGACCTCTTCGACGGGCTTTGGCGCCGGGATCGAGACGGCCGCTTCGGGCTCCTCCTTGACCTCTGGCTTGGGCTTCTTCTTGCGAATCACCTTGACCTCTTCCTCGATGGATTCCTCCACTATTTCCCGTGGAGTCTCTTCAATGACCTTTACCTTGTGCTCTTCGTAGACTTGGGGCTCGGGTTCTTCCACAATCGGTTCGGGTACGACCTCCTCCTCCTGGGGAATCTCCTCAACAGGTTTCTCGGGTGCTTCCGTTTCCGTGACCCCGATCCTGTAGGTCTTGTCCTCCACCTTTGGAGCCACAACTTCCTTGATTTCTGTGACCACTTCCTCGACTTCTTCGATGATGGGCGCCTCCTCGGGGATTTCCTCTGTGATTTGAATCTTTAGCTCCTCCGCCGCCACTTCCTTGACCTTCTTCTTGGGCTTTTTGGTCTTGATTTGGGCCTCCTCGGTGACCTCTTCGATGGGCTTGGGCTCCTTGAGGATTATCTCTGTGGCCGGCTCATCGGCGAAGGTCACCGATTGCTTGCGTTTCTTGACCGTGAACTGTGCCTCGCCTTGAGGCTCCTCCACGGGCTTTTCTGCGGCTTCCGTTTCGGAAATGCGTACCGTGAATTCTTGTGGTTTTTCCTCCACGATTATTTCCTGCTTTTCCACAATTTCCGGTTTGATTTCTTCGGGCACTTCTTCGGGAACCTCGGGGGCTGCCTCCGTTTCCACAACCTTGATCTCCAGTTCAGCGGCTGCCTCTTCAGGTTTCTTTGGCTTTTTGGTTTTCTTCTGTTTGATTTCGGTTTCCACATGGATTTCCTCCGTTTTCTTGGGTTCTGTCAGCACAAATTCGGCCTCCACTGCCTCGGGCTTGGGTTTGGGCTTCCGCTTGAAGACGGCCTCGGCTGGAGCTTCCTCCTCGGGCTGTTCTTCGATGGCAGTGACCTTTTCAGCCTCCGTTTCCTTGACGCTGATTTCATATGAATCGAAGGACTCGATAACCTGTTCCTCGGACTTCTCCTCCTCTACCTTGGGAGCTTCTTCGATCACTTCCACGGGCTTTTCCTCGACGGGGGCCTCAGTTTCTGTGACACTGAATTCGTATTCCTTGGGTTTCTTGGTCTTTTTCTTTTCTTGGGGTTTCTCCTCCACCACGACTTCCTCCTCTTCGACTGGTTGTATCTTTTCTTCTTCTACGACCACAATCTCTTCTTCCTTCACCTCTTTCTTGGGTTTCTTCTTGGACTTTTCCTTGACGGTTACCTCCTGGGGCAGGGGTTCCTCGGGTGTGGGTTCCGTAAGCTTCAGTTCAACCTCAAACTGCTCTGCTTCCTCGACGGGTTTCTCCACGGGAATTGTGACCTCTGCGGTGACCTCTTCAACCTCTGGTTCCTCGACCTGGGGCTCTTGGAGCGTCACCTCGTACTCTTCGGGCTGCTGTGGCTTTGGCTTCTTGCGGCGCGTCACAACCTTTTCTTCGATGACTTCTTCGGTGGTCTCGTGGCGCTCATCGAAGTCGATGACTCGCACCTTGTGCTCCTTGGGGGCCTCTTCGGGCTCCAGGACTGTCGTCGTGATCTTGTACTCCACGGGTATGTCCTCGGGGACTTCTTCGGGCTGCGGTGCCTCCTCCTTAACCTCCACTTGGGCGACCGGGGCCTCTTTGGGTTTCTTTTGCTTGACCTTCACCTCCTTGGGCTTTTCTTCTTCAATGGGAACCTCTTCGGGTGCCTCTTCCTGCTTCAGAGAGACCTCGAACTCCTGTGGGACTTCCTCGGAGACCTCCTCCTCCTTTGGTTGGATCTTCTTGGCCTTAGGTTTCTTTGGTTTCTTCGCTTCCTCTTGGGGAGTCTCTGGGATCTCCTCCGCTTTGGGTTCCTCGACCTTTGCCTGGACGATGGCTGCCTCCACGGGTGCCTCAGCCTCAGGGACCTTTGGCACTGGTTTCAGTTTGATTTGAGAGTCTGTTTCCTCTGGAGCTTCGCTTTCGGGAATGCGGAACTTCACCTCCTGTTCGGGTACCTCTTCCTCTTCCTTGGGCACGCCCGGGACAATCTCTGAGATGATTGTCTCCGGCTCTGGCTTCGACTTGTCCTTGGGCTTGTACTTGGTTTTCGTGGGCTTCTTCTGTTTCTCAGGCTTCTCCGGATGCTCAATGGGCTCCAGTTCCTCGGGCACGTACTCCGAAGGCTCAAAGTCCACGGGCTCGAAGGGCGGCACCACAAAGTGTCCTTCCTTGGGCTCCTTGGGCTGTTCCTCGACCACAACGACTTCCTTGGGCTTTCGCTGGAGCTCCACTTCCTCTTCGACCTCCTGGGGCTTCTGTGGGATCTTCTTGAGGGTGACATTCTCTGGCTGTTCCTCCTCCTTGGGCTTTTTCTTGCCCTTTCCGAGCTTTATTTTCACTTCTTCTTGCTTCTCCTCGGGCTTGGGAGTCTTTTCGGGCTTCTGGTAGGGCTTCTGCTCCTCGGGCTCCTCCTCGCTGCTGACATACTTCTCGTACTTCTCGAGCTCGACCTTCTCCAGGTCGTCCTTGATCTTTTTGATCTTCTTGGTCTTTGGTTTCTTGAACTTGAGGGCCTCTTCGGCCTCGTCGATGTTGCGCGAAAGCTCTCCATTGTCCTTCGTGGCGCCAATCTCGGTCAGCTTGGGTATCAATGGAGCCGGAGGATACTCGACCATGACCATGCGGGCCTTGAGCCGGAATTTGGGCAGCTGTACGGACTGCTCTTCGGTGGGTTTCTCCTTGCGTTTTCCTGGCTTCAGTTTGACCTGTTTCGGGACCTCTGCCGCCTCCACAATCTGCACTTTGGTGGGCTTCTGATCCTTTCGCTCGATTTTCATGGGCTCGAGATTGGCGAATTCCGGTTTCAGTTTCTTGGGCAGATCGAAATCGATCTTTTCGTACTTTTCGAGCTCCGTTTTCTCGATTTCCTGCTCCAGTAACTTGCGGATGATCTCATCGTGATCATCGGTTTTCTTTTTGATGATCTTCTTCTTTTTGGCCTTGGGCTTGCTGACATCCTCGGGCTGGTCCTCGGCAACGGGCTGCTCCTCCTCTTCCTCCACCTCCTCGATGATGGGCTGCGATTCCTCGATCTCTGCGATCTCATCGATGACTCGTATCTCGTGGATCTTCTCGGGCTGTTCCTCCTCCTCGACGATGGGCTCCTCGTGAATGATGCTGATTTGATAGTCCTTGTGTACCTCTGTCGCTTCACCTGTGTGGAAGATGCATCAACAGCTAAGTAAATTGTGATCTTAAGGGGCGCAAAAAGGATAAACCAGGATCCAGGATCCAGGATCCATTGGGGTTGGGTACCGTGCATTGCTTTTGCCAAAAAGCAAGCAAAAATCGTTGAAACTTTGGACAGAAGACATAATTTTTTGAAAGGCTATATTTACAGATACAGATAGAGATATGTATATATATTTACAGAAGGATTGAACATATTTTGTACAAAGGATTTAGGGATGTGTTAGCTGAAAGATGAAGGTTACGCATACATATATTCTACAAAGGATTTTGGGATATTTTGTAGGTGCAAGATGGATATTTTGTACAGAGGATTAGCTGAAAGATGGCGTTATGGTGGTGTTAAGTGGATCGTAAGAAACGGGTTAGAATGTAGGAACACACATGCGAAAAGGGTATTAATATTCGGGTTATTGTGTTGGAGGTTGGGGGCTTGGAAAAGGCTTTCCAGTGGAACGAACTGAAAAGGAGATTCAGAAGATCGTCAGCGACTAGGAAAGAATAGAAATTTAGAGAATTGTTGTGGGGTAGAGGGAAGACGCAACACGCGGTGTGGTATTCAACGAAAGGAACAAAAAAAACATAGGCGGACAGGCGCGAAAAGACAAAAGTCACAAAAGGAGCAAAAACGGAGCAATAGACACAGAAAAAAGGGAGCAAAAAGAGCAGCAAAAGACAGGGAAAAAGATAACAGAGATAACGGAGCGTAAAAGGAGTAAGAGACATAGAAAAAGAGCAGCAAAAGAAGTGGGCGAAAAACAGGAGAGTAAAAGAGCATTAAAAAAAATTTTACATTGAAAAAATGGAGCGTAAAAGGAGCGAAAAATATATAGAAAAAAGAGGAGTAAAAGTCAAGGAAAAAGAGGAGCAAAAAACGGAGCAATAGACATAGACAAAACGGAGAAACAGACACGGAAAGAATAAGGAAAAGGAAAAGAGTAAAACACGCAGAAGTGAACGGAGCAAAAATATGCTTTTGCTGCTGCTTGGCGGCGTCGGCGTGGGGTGGGATATTTTTTTCTTTTTTTTTTTCTCTTGGACTTGTTTTTTTTTTTTTTTTCTTTTTTTTTGTAGGTGTGTGTGGGGGGCGCTTCTCCAAAGCGAACTTACTTGTTGTTGTTTCTGTTTCAGGGCTTTCTTTGTGTGTTTCTGGTTTTGTTTTCTGTTTATGTTTAACTGTTTTCTGTGCTGTTGTTGTTGTTGTTGCTGTGGGTGCCTCTTCTTGCGGTGTAATTTGTGCAGTGGCTGTGTCCTCTTGTGCATGTATCGGTGTGCTTGTTGTTGTTGTTGTTGTGCTCTCTTCCTCATCGTCCTTGGGTATCTCTACAGTCGTCACGTATGTCTGCTCAGTGGGTTCGTCTGTCTCTGTCTTGGGTTTCTTCTGGGTCTTTGGTTTCTTTGTCTGGGGTTTGGTTGATTCGGGGCCTACCTCTACTGGCTGGGAATCCTCTTCCTCGGGAAGAACCTTTTCCTCCTCGGGAAGAGGAAGAGCCTCTTCTTTTTCTACCTCTTTTGGTGTCTCCTCTTCTATCAACTTCTTCACATAATCATCTAGCTCCTCCTTCTTTACCTTCTTGACGGTTTTCTTGGACTTTGGCTTGGGTTTCGGTACCTCTTCTTCGGGCTGTTCTTCCACGGGAACAACGACTGCCTCTGGCTGTGGCTCCTCATCCACAATGACCATCACGGAATCATTATCCTCGCTTTCGATGGTGGTTATCTTGAACGTGGTATCCTCCTTGGGTCCCTTTTTCTTCAGGACTCTCTTGGTGGTCTTTTCCTGAATGGGTTTACCCTCTTCCGTGACGATCTCCTGGATTTGAACCTCCTCCGGCTGGACCTCAACAATCTTTACCGGCAGAAGAGGCTCTTCTTCGGGAGCTTCTACCTCGAGGATCTTCACCTGGGCCAGTTCTTCGGGCACAGGCGAGGCTTCCTTCGTCGTTTGCTTGGCTTTCGGTTTCTTGTCCTTCTTTGGTTTGCCCTCGGGGGCTTCCTCAACCACATCGATGGGCTTTTCCGTGGGCTTGTCCCTGACAGTCGGTTCAAAGTCGAATTTCTCATACTTCTCCAACTCCGTCTTGGGCGTCTCCATGTCGATGAGCTTTTGTATGTAGTCGTGGATGTCGTCCTTCTTGACTTTCTTGGTTTTCTTCTTGGGTTCCTTGGGTTTCTCATCCTCTTTGGTGGGGGCCTCGGGCTCGTATTCCACAATTGTGATTTCCGCTTCCGGCTGATCATCCCTCAAGACTTCTATGATCTCGATTTGACCCTCGCCATCGGGTCGCTTGATCTTGCGCTTGGTGGTGACCTCCTTGTGGGTCTCCCCGGCGGCATCTGTGGTCTCCTTGACCTGCGTTTCGCTTTCGATGACCTCGATGGTGAAGGGCTTTTCTTCCTGGGGTTCTGCGGAGCTTTCCTTGATGGAAATTTGATAGGAATCGAGAGGAGTTTCTTCGGTGGTTTCTTGTGGCTTTTTGGATGGCTTTTTCTTTTGGGGTTTGTCTGTTGAAGCGGTTTCCTCCTTGACGGAAATGCTGAATATTTTATCGTCAGGTTTTTCAACATCGGATTCGATTTCTCTAACTTCCAGAGGCTCCTCCGGGAGTTCTTCTTCCTTTGGTGCTTCCTCAGAAACGATGACCTTTGCCTTTGGTTTCTTTTTCTTTTCAGGTTTCGGCGTTTCTTCCGTTTGATCGATCTCATGTTCGGGTTCTTCTACGATCGGCATCGAAACCTCCACAGTAAAGACCTCTTCTGGCTGAGGAGTATCCTCCGGCACGCTTTCCACGACAGAGATTTTCTCTGGTTCTGGTTTTTCCTCTTCAACAGCTGCCGGCTTCTCCTTCTTGGCCTTCTTTTTGGGCTTTTCTGGCGTTGGCTCCGATGGCGTTTCTTCTGCGACAGCCACAACAGCCTCCGGTTCGATAGGCTTTGGAGTTTCCTCCTCAATCACGGCCTTGATGAAGTCCTCGACATCATCCTTTTTGATCTTTTTCGTACGTTTCTGCTTGACCACAGGCTCGACATCTACCGTCTCCTCCGAGGGAGTTGTCGTGGTGACTGTGATCTCAGATTCATTTGTGTCTGCATCCGTGACCTCGACAATATCATGAACTACCTCCTGGGGACCCTTTTTCTGCTTGATTTTCTTTGTTTTGACGACCTTTTCCCTGACTTGACCCTCTTCGTCGGGCACCTGTTGAATCTCGACCGTTTCCTCGAGCACTACGATTTCAAAAGACTTTTCTTCGGGCTTTTCCGGCGAAAATTCTCTCACAGTGATCTTTAGTTTTGGCTCCTCCTTGGCCTCCTCTACCGTTGGTTGTTCTTCCTCGGGAATGGGGGTTTCTTCTTCGGATTCTTGGGGTTTTTCGGTGGGTTTTTCCTCATGAACCTTGACCTTTTTGGCGGGTTTCTTTTTCATTTTCACCGGCTCATCCAAGTCGATCTTTTCGTACTTTTCCAACTCTGTTTTTGGTATATCCTGCTCGATGAGTTTTTGAATATAATCGTGGAGATCGTCCTTGGGGACCTTCTTTGTTTTCCTGACCTTTTTGGGTGCCTCTTCCTGGGGAATGTCCTCCTTCAGAGGCTCCACCTCTTCGGTGTGCACTATGACCTCGTACTCGGGTGTGTCCCCCTCCGTCATGGTCTCCACAATTTCGATGATCTCCTCCTTGGGACCCACCTGCTTCTTGATCTTTCGCTTCGTGACCGTCTGCTTGGTGGTTTCCCCCTTGTCGTCTGTGATCTGCTGCTCCACGGCCTCCGTTTCGAGTTCTTGGATCTGGAAGGATGGTTCCTCCAAGGGCGCAGGTTCCTCCGACTCAACGACGATGGTTGTATGTTCGGGGAAGACTTCTTCGGGGATATGCTCATCGGATATGGCCTTGACCAAATATTCTGGCGATTCCTCTTGTGAGGGTTGCTTTTGAGTCTTGGGTTTCGAAGGTTTCTTGGTCTTTGGTTTGGGCTTATCGTCTGTGGCAGTCTCCTCTGTAACACCGACAGTGTAGGCAGGGGTTTCATCGGGCTTTTCAATGACGATTTCCATAGTTTCCACAAATATCTCCTCTGGTACTTGAGGTTCCTTCGAGTCCGCCTCTTCTTCTGTTTCTGTGACTGTATATTTCTTGGGAGATTTCTTTGCTTTTTTGGGTTTCTCCTCTATAATCTCTTCTGCCTCACTTTCCACGATTTCAATGGGTGCCTGTTCCACGAATTCCTCAATAACGTTGATGACATATTCCTCGATTTCATCTTTTTTCAATTGTTTCGGCTTCTTGAGGATCTTCTTTACGGGCTTGGGCTCTTCCTCGGTGATTTCCACCTCATCGGCGTTCACTTCAGTGACTGTCACCTCCGCAATGGGCTGATCCTCGCTGGTGGTTTCTGTGATCTCAAAGACCTTCTCCTGGGAACCCTTGCGGCGCAGAACCTTTCGCTTTTTGATGGTCACCTCCTTGATGGTGCCCTCTTCATCGGGCTGCTCGACGACCTCCACAGTTTGTTCGATTTCCTCCAAAGGAACAGCGGGGATCTCCTCCTTTTTGTCCTTTTTCTTCTTTTGGGGCTTTTCCTTCTTTGTCGGTATCGGTTTTTCCTCGGGACTCTCCAGGGGTTTCACGGCCTCCAAGAATTCATCGGCAACGTTGACCAAATATTTCGTAGAATCCTCTGTCTTCTGTGGCAGCTCCTGCACGTCCTCTGGGAAGATCTCCAACTCTTCCGGTTCCTCCACTTCTGGTTCGATTTCCTCGACATTGAATTCATGGATTGTCACAGGCAAACCATCCACCACGTCCACAGTTGTCTTGTGATGTGTCTTCACCTTCTTCTTGGGCTTCTTGGGCTTGTCATCCATCTCTGTTGGCTCGTACTGTTCCAGCTCCGTTTTCGTGATCTCCTGTTCGATCAGCTCTTGGATGTACTTGTCCAGATCGTCCTTGACGGGTTTCTTTTTCTTGATCTTCTGAACAATCTTCAGGGGTTGCTCCTCCGCGACGTCCTTCGGTGCGGCCTCCTCCGAGGGCACTTCAGTCGTTGTGAATTCTATGATGGCCTCGGGATTGTTCTCCTGGTACGTTTCTGTGATCTCAATGATGTACTCCTTGGGGCCATCCTTCTTCTTGAGTTTCTTTGTGGTCTTCACCTGCTTGACCTCCTCTCCCTTTTCGTTGACAATGTCTTCGATGACGGTTTCGGGGGCCAACTCCTCAATGCGGATTGTCTGCTGCTCCACGGGTTTCTTTGAAGGTTTCTTTGGCTTTGGAGTTTTTGGTTTTTGTTCGGGAATTTCCTCGGGAACATCGGATTCGACTTCCTCCTCCTCAAACCTCTGTGGTTCCACAAATTCTTCCAGGACGTTGATGATGTAGCTTTGAACTTCTTCTGGTTTCAGTTTCTTGGGTTTCTTGATGGGTTTCTTCTCCTTGATCTCGGGAACAACTTCCTCCGGCTTTTCTTCCTCTATAATCTCCACTATAGTCACCTCCGCCAAAGGTTCATCATTCGTTTTGGTTTCGGTAATCTCGAAGATCTGTTCCTTGGGTCCCTGTTTCCTGACGATCTTTTTCTTTTTCGTTTCCACCTTCTTTTCGGTGCCATCCTCTTCGGTTACCTTAACGATTTCCACGGATTCGGAGATGTCTTCAATCACTGGTTGTACCTTTTCAACGTCCTCGGGAAGTTCCTCAAACTTATAGGGCTCGACGTATTCTTCCAGAACATTGATGATGTAGTTTTTGACCTCTTCGGGCTTCAGTTTCTTGGGTTTTTTGATGGGCTTCGTTTCTTTGATCTCGGGAACGGCTTCCTTGGGTTTTTCTTCCTCGGTTATTTCGATGATGGTTACCTCCGCCAGAGGCTCATCGTTCGTTTTGGTTTCTGTGATCTCGAAGATCTGTTCCTTGGGTCCCTGTTTCCTGGAGACCTTCTTTTTCTTCACTTCCACCTTCTTTTCGGTGCCATCTTCTTCGGTGACCTTAGTGATCTCCACTGTTTCCGAAAGATCCTCAATGATGGGTTCCTCAAACTTGTAGGGTTCCACAAATTCTTCAAGGACATTGATCACATAATCCTTTACTTCTTCGGGCTTAAGTTTCTTCGGCTTCTTGATGGGTTTTTTCTCCTTGATCTCCGGACCTTCTTCCTTGGGGGTCTCTTCTTCGGTAATCTCCACAATGGAAACTTCAGCCAGAGGTTCATCATTCGTTATGGTTTCGGTGATCTCGAAGACCTGTTCATTGGGTCCCTGTTTCCTTGAAACCTTCTTCTTCCGGACCTCCACCTTCTTTGGAACACCATCCTCTTCAGTGACTTCTGTAATCTGCACAGTTTCGGGAAGTTCTTCAATAATGGGTTGTTCTTGTATCACCTCTTCAAACTTGTAGGGCTCTACAAATTCTTCCAGAACATTGATCACATAATTCTTGACATCTTCCGGTTTCAGTTTCTTGGGTTTCTTGATGGGTTTCTTCTCCTTGATCTCGGGAACAACTTCCTCCGGCTTTTCTTCCTCTATAATCTCGACTATAGTCACTTCAGCCAGAGGTTCATCATTCGTTTTGGTTTCGGTGATCTCGAAGATCTGTTCCTTGGGTCCCTGTTTCCTGGCGATCTTCTTCTTCTTCGTTTCCACCTTCTTTTCGGTGCCATCCTCTTCGGTTACCTTAACGATTTCCACGGATTCGGAGATGTCTTCAATCACTGGTTGTACCTTTTCAACGTCCTCGGGGAGTTCTTCAAACTTATAGGGCTCGACGTATTCTTCCAGAACATTGATGATGTAGTTTTTGACATCTTCGGGCTTCAGTTTCTTGGGTTTTTTGATGGGTTTCGTTTCTTTGATCTCGGGAACAGATTCCTTGGGCTTTTCTTCCTCGGTTACTTCGATGATGGTTACCTCTGCCAGAGGCTCATCGTTCGTTTTGGTTTCTGTGATCTCGAAGATCTGTTCCTTGGGTCCCTGTTTCCTGGAGACCTTCTTTTTCTTCACTTCCACCTTCTTTTCGGTGCCATCCTCTTCGGTGACCTTAGTGATCTCCACTGTTTCCGAAAGGTCCTCAATGACGGGTTCCTCAAACTTGTAGGGTTGCACCAATTCCTCAAGAACATTAACAACATAATTCTTGACTTCTTCGGGTTTCAGCTTCTTCGGTTTCTTGATGGGTTTTTTCTCCGTGATCTCTGGAACATCCTCCTTGGGTTCCTCCTCTGTAATCTCCACTATGGAAACCTCCGCCAGAGGTTCATCATTCGTTATGGTTTCGGTGATCTCAAATATCTGTTCTTTGGGTCCCTGTTTCCGTGAAACCTTCTTCTTTCGCACTTCAACCTTTTGTGGAACACCGTCCTCTTCGGTGACACGGACTTCCACCACTTCAGAAATGTCTTGAATGACGGGTTCTGGCTTTTCCTCTTCCAGCACCTTGATTTTCGCTGATTTCTTGGGCTTGGACTTGGGCTTCTCTTCAACGACCTTTACTTGCTGATCCGTGGGAGTTTCCTCGACATCTTCGTGATCGCTTTCCTCTACCACTTCAACGGGTTTGAGATCTTCATGATCGATCTCAAACTCTTGAATGATAACCTCATAGACTGTTGTGGGCACACCATCCACCACCTGAGTGGTTTTCTTGTGTTGTTTCTTGATTTTCTTGGGTTTCTTCACCTCCGATGTCGTGGACTCCGATACACGAACTTCGAATTCTTCCAGTTCTGGCTTCGGAATATCCTCTTCGATCAGTTCTTGGATAAAGTTGTCCAAACTTTCGGTCTTGGGCTTCTTTTTCTTGACGATCTTTATCTTGTGCTCCTCCTGGGGTTGTTCCTCCGTGACTGGTGTGATTTCTGTGGTTTGTATTACGACTTCTGCCTCGGGTTTGTTCTCTTCATAGGTTTCAATCACTTCAATGAGGTATTCCTTGGGTCCAGCCTTCTTTTTGAGCTTACGTTTGGTGATCACACGTTCCACTGTCTGTCCCTCCTCATTGACTGTTTCTTCGATGATTGTTTCGGGTGCTAGTTCTTCCACCCGAATTGTAAATTCAGATATGGGCTCTGTAGGGGCCTCTTCCTTTGGTTTCTTGGCGGGTTTCTTGATTTTCTTGGGTGTTGAGTCCCTAACTTCCACAGAATATGATTCGGCTTGGGGTGCTTCCTCTGATTCAGTTACAGATACAGTATCTTCTGTGATGGTTAATGTCTCTGGGGTTCTTTCAGGTTCCGTTTCTGTTATTTTCACCTTTTTCTGCTTTTCAGATTTCTTTTTCTTATCCTTGGGAAGGCTTCGAACTTCTTCTGGTTTCTCCTCTTCTGGGGAAACCTCTTGCAGGGCTTCCTCTTCAACAACAGTCGTGATAAAGGAGGTAATGTCCTCTTCTGGCGATTTCTCGCGCTCTGGAACCGGTGTATAATCTTCGGATATCTCCGCAATCAGCTCTGTAGGCGCCTCTTCCACAACCTTGACGATGTATTCCTTTAGTTTTTCCTTCTTCACCTTTTTCACTGTTTTCTTGGGTGCCTCCGGTTTATCTTCCTCAGGAGCATCCGTCGTATCTTCTGTTGTTTCTGTGGTTATCACGATGACCTTCGCCTCTTCGGGGATATCCTCGGGAGCCTCGGTTTCAATGATTTCAATCTCGTACACTTTGGAACCTTTCCTGGTCTTGACCTTTCGCTTTTTAGTGATTTTCTCTTCCTGGATGTCGAGTTCTTCAATGACTAGTGGCACAGTGTCCACTACCTCCTCGAGGACAACTATGGGTAGGGTTTCCTGTAGATCAGCAATTATTTCATCCAATTCCGGGACGATTTCCTCTTCTGGCTCTTCGATCTCCTCCTGTGGAGCCCGCTCCGAATCGATCTTCTTGATCAAGAACTCATCGTAGACCGGAATTATCTCCGTTTCAAGGGTTTCCTCTTCCTTGATGATTTTCTTGGCCTTGGGCTTCTTGGCCTTTGGCTTTTCCTTGGGCTCGTGTTCCGTGACTCCGATCTGAAGCGTTTCACCCTCTGGGAAGACGGGTTCCTGAGGCTTTGGTTTCTGTTTCTTGGCCTTCTTTGGCTTGCCATCCACATCGATTTTCTCGTATTTCTCTAACTCTGTCAAGGGAATCTCTGCGTTGATCAATTGCTGAATGTAGGCATCGAGTTCATCCTTTGTCATTTTCTTGGTTTTCTTCTTGGGCTTTTCTCTTGAAGGAATAACCTTCTCCTCCTCCTTTGCTTCGCTAGAGGTTATTGTTACTTCATAGAGCGGCTCTTCACCTTCAGAAGGCAAAGTTTCAACGATTTCAAGGATCTCTGTTTCATTACCCTTTTCATGGAGGATTCTGCGCTTCTTGGGTTGCTCCTCAGAAGGAGCCTCAGGCTGTAGTTCCGTGAGTTTTACCTCAAAGAAGTCTTCTGTACGAGTTTCATAGAACTTTTGTTCAGGTTCTTCCTTTATTTCGGCCACAAATTGCTCAAGTTCCTCTTGGTTCATGCGTTTGACCTTCTTTTTGAGTGTTTTCTTGGGTTTTCTATCAACCTGATCTGTTTCCGAACTTGTGATGGTAATTTCATAGATCTTTTCATCAGTATCTTTTGGTGAAACTTCCACTATTTCAATGGTGTTTTCCTCAAGATCAGTTTTCACCTTAATCTTGCGCTTTTTCTTGGGTTCTTTGATGGGTTTCCTCGGCGATTCCGCTGTTTCCTCGGGAGTGACTTCTGGCTGTAGTTCCACAACTTCATATTTGAAGAATGGCTTAAGTTTCACTTCTTCCTGGACATCCTCTGGTCGTTCGCCTTGACGGTAGCGCAGCTTTAGATCATCCTCGGGAGTTTCTTCAACGTCCTTCGGCTTTCCTGGAGTGATTTTGTGCTGAATTGTATCGGGTGACGGTGTAACCTTCTTCTTTCGCTTGTGCTTGGGTTTGTCGAGTGTTTCAGTGTCTTCAACGATAGATGTATCCGATTCTCCAGGTTGTTCCGAAGTTCTTTCGAAATCTGTCAGCTCCAAGGGCTCAAAGTGGATTGTGTCCTGTGGTTTCTCGGACTTTTTGGACTTCTTTTTCTTTGGAGCCTCCTCTTCGACCACATTTTGGGGTTTCTCTTCGATATCCTCTTCTTTGCCTTCGATTTTGACGGGTTTCAAGTGAACCTCTTCCAAGGTTTCGACATTCTGTGGAATCTTGCCCTTGCCAAGTTTTAGCTTTCGAATTTCCTCAGGAGTTTCCTCCGTTTTCTTCTTTCCACGCTTGTACTTGGGCTTGGGTTGCTCCTCATCCGAAGGTTGGCTCTCCTCAGAGTCAAAGGTCTCGAGATCGGGCTGCTCTAGCTCTGCCTTTGAGGGCTTGCGGTGTTTGAACTTCTTGGGACGCAGCCGCAGGACCTCTTCGGCCTCTTCGACATTGCGAGAGAGTTCTCCACTCTCCCGATGGGTATCCAACTCTGTCAGGACATACGGGAAGCAGTACGGAGAGTACGGTATGAACCGTATCCAACTCTTGAGTTTCTTGTTCTTGAAGGAAGCTTCGGCCTTCTTCTTTTTCTCCACCTCCGGGCGTTGCTTGGGCGTTTTCAGCTTCAGCATTTGTGGGAATTCGGCCACCGAGGTGATTTCCAACATTTTGGGTCGTTTAAATTCCATTTTCTCGATTTTCATGGGAGTCAGCTTCATTGGTTGGGGTTGCTTGAAGGACGAATCACGACGAGCCCTTTGCGGGAGCTCCATTTCCGTGCGCTGATATCCCTGAATGACTGTCTTGGGTATCTCCTGATGGATGAGGAACTGTATGTACTCATCCAATTCATCCCGTTTCGATTTAACGACCTTCTTTTTCTTGGGCTTGTCTTTCTTCTCACCAGTAGCAGTAGGACTCTCCTCAACCTTACCCTCTTCTATGACCACTAATTTCTTTGGTTTGCGTTTCTTAACCCCTGTCTTTTCCCCAGGACCCTCCTCTGTCAGTGTCGTCTCCCCTGTAGGACCCTCCTCTGTCAGTGTCTCCCCAGTAGGAGACTCCTCCTGCTCCTGTTCCTCCTCAACAATTGTCTCCCCCTCAATGGGAGCCTTGGTAGATGGTTTCTTTTTCTGTTTCTGTTTCTGTTTGGGTTCCTTCTTGTCGTCTCCTGCACTTACAACATCTTCGGGTTCTGTGATAGTGTACTCTTTGTTGTTCTGTTGGTCTGTTTTCGAGAAAGAATTATGTGTGTTTTTTTGTGTTAGAGCTAGACTAATGTTTTGTACACTCTTATATTTGCATTTTATATAATGCTTTAAAACACCTTCAAACTTTGTGTGGAACAAAGTTAAGTGTTTGGAAACATACCATACGCTTGCAAAAAAAAAAATTACTTTGTGTGTGGGTTAGAGATTTCATTTCAATTGAAAATGTACGCAATTTCGTTTTTGGTTTCAGAATTTTTGGATGTCACGTACAGAAAAGTGCAGTGTTAGTAAATATTTTGTGAGAATTTATGAAGTGTTTTCTCATGTTTGCATGTCTTTATGTTTTGTATAATGTTACGAGTGTGATTCTTTTGCTAAATACTGAAAGACTGAATGACTGAAGGACGTTTGTTCTTTGTTCTTTGAGACGCGGCTTGTGGTATAGTATATGGAGTACATGTTGTACATAGTATAGTTTGTTTATAAAGTAAAAATCACCTGTTGGCTCGCTGACTTCAACAATTTCAAGGTGTGGTGTTGATTGTGGTGTTGTAGTGTCTTCTGGAATGGGTTCGGTATCACTGAGTACCTCCTCAACAACGATGCCTTGCTCCTCCTGAGAGATTCGTTTCTGTTCGGTTTCTATTGTGGTCTCTCCATCTTCGTTTTGTACAGATTTGAATGTCGTTATGTATTCGGTTGTTGTGTTTTCGGGCTTTGCTTGTTTCTCCACTGTTTCGTTGTGTTTTGTTTTGTGTGTGGGGTTTTTTTTTCGTGTGGAATGTTTAAAGAAAATATGTTATTTACAGATCTAGATATCAGGAACTATAAGAATACTTTAAGTTGAATAAAATGTTGAAAAAAACTAAGAAATTTATGCGTATACTTCAATTTGTGTTGTAGAATGAATGTAGAATGGATAGTGTAGATAGTGTTTTTTGTGTTCTTACCCTTGGGTTTTTTGTGTGGCTTTTGTTTGTGTTTGTTGGTGGGTGAAACCTTTTCATCGTCGCATTTACTAATATCGATTATATCGGCGATATCAGAGAGATTTTCATCGCTTACAACCCGTATCAAGGAATAGGGCTCTTTGCCCTCTTCCTCGATTGTTTGTATCTGGAAATATTCCAGATCCTCTTCCTCTGGTCCCTGTTTCTTGAAGGTACGCGTCTTCGTCGTCTTCTTCTTTGGCTTCTTATTGCTGTCCAGCTCCTCGGTGAATGTTGTCTCCTCCGGCAACTCTTCAATCGGTATGGGGGCGAAATCATCAGCAGGCACAACCTCCACTTGAACTGTTGTCAGGGGTTCCTTGTCGTCTTCGACGACTGTCTGAACCGTTGTCACTTCGTCGAGTTTATCGTCGAGGTTCTTTTTGAAAGCCCTGGACTTGACTGTCTTCTTCTTTTTGGTACCATCTGGAGAAGTGTATTCCAGCTCTGCCACTTGTTCCGGCAGCTCCAAGGACTTATTGTCTTCCGGTTTCGATTCGGTTAGAGGCTGTTCTGTCACTGATATCGAATAGATGGGCTCTGCATCATCTTGTTCAATGATATCAATTTGAGTAACCTCTTCCATCTTGTCACTCGTCGGCTTTTTAATCACACGTTTCTTTGTTTTCACAATCTTTGGCGCACCTTCTTCGTCTACTGTTTCCGACTCCAGGACCTCATCGGGTAGTACCACTACCTCAGAGATCTTTTCCTCTGGCAGTTCAGGGAAGGGCAATTCAAAGTTCTCTACTGTCACCTTTGTCTTTGGCTCCTTTTCGTATTCCTCGACAGTTTGAATCTTAGTTACCTCCATGTTGGAGCCTTTGATCTTTTTGATAATTCGTGTCTTGACAACAGTCTTTGTGGGAGTACCATCTTCCTTCTCTGAAAGAATAACAGACTTTCTCTCAGGCAACTCGACCACAGTCTCCTCATCTTCAGGCTTTTGCACAATAACTCTCTTCTTAAGCTTCACTTTGCCACCAAATGGAGTCTTCAGATCAGTTTCTTCCACCGTGACTGTTGTCTCTGGCTTCTTGTTATCCTCTTCGACGGTTTCGATCTTGGTGACCTCTTGCTTATCACCCTTGACCTTCTTAATTACGCGAGTGCGTATCTTCTTCGTCTTGGGTTTGCCGTCTTCAGAGAAAGATTCCACCACGCGAACCTCTTCTGGAAGCTCTTCCACCTCATCGGGTTTCTCCTCTTCGTAAGGAACCTCCTCGACGGTGACGGTAGTCTCCGAAGGCTTGTCATCCTCCTCGACGGTTTCGATCTTTGTGACTTCTTGCTTGTCTCCCTTGACCTTCTTGATAACGCGAGTACGGATCTTCTTCTTCTTGGTCTTGCCATCTTCGGAAATGGTTTCCACCACACGAACCTCCTCTGGAAGCTCCTGGATCTCCTCGGGTTTCTCTTCTTCGTACGGGACCTCTTCGACGGTGACTGTAGTCTCCGAAGGCTTATCATCCTCCTCGACGGTTTCGATCTTGGTGACTTCTTGCTTGTCTCCCTTGACCTTCTTGATAACGCGAGTGCGGATCTTCTTCTTCTTGGGCTTGCCGTCTTCGGAAATGGTTTCCACCACACGAACCTCCTCTGGAAGCTCCTGGATCTCCTCGGGTTTCTCTTCTTCGTAAGGGACCTCTTCGACGGTGACGGTAGTCTCCGAAGGCTTGTCATCCTCCTCGACGGTTTCGATCTTGGTGACTTCTTGCTTGTCTCCCTTGACCTTCTTGATAACGCGAGTACGGATCTTCTTCTTCTTGGGCTTGCCGTCTTCGGAAATGGTTTCCACCACACGAACCTCCTCTGGAAGCTCCTGGATCTCCTCGGGTTTCTCTTCTTCGTAGGGGACCTCTTCGACGGTGACTGTAGTCTCGGGTACCTTGTCATCCTCCTCGACGGTTTCGATCTTGGTGACTTCTTGCTTGTCTCCCTTGACCTTCTTGATAACGCGAGTACGAATCTTCTTCTTCTTAGGCTTGCCGTCTTCGGAAATGGTTTCCACCACACGAACCTCCTCTGGAAGCTCCTGGATCTCCTCGGGTTTCTCTTCTTCGTACGGGACCTCTTCGACGGTGACTGTAGTCTCCGAAGGCTTGTCATCCTCCTCGACGGTTTCGATCTTGGAGACTTCTTGCTTGTCTCCCTTGACCTTCTTGATAACGCGAGTGCGGATCTTCTTCTTCTTGGGCTTGCCGTCTTCGGAAATGGTTTCCACCACACGAACCTCCTCTGGAAGCTCCTGGATCTCCTCGGGTTTCTCTTCTTCGTAAGGGACCTCTTCGACGGTGACGGTAGTCTCCGAAGGCTTGTCATCCTCCTCGACGGTTTCGATCTTGGTGACTTCTTGCTTGTCTCCCTTGACCTTCTTGATAACGCGAGTGCGGATCTTCTTCTTCTTGGGCTTGCCGTCTTCGGAAATGGTTTCCACCACACGAACCTCCTCTGGAAGCTCCTGGATCTCCTCGGGTTTCTCTTCTTCGTAAGGGACCTCTTCGACGGTGACCGTAGTCTCCGAAGGCTTGTCATCCTCCTCGACGGTTTCGATCTTGGTGACTTCTTGCTTGTCTCCCTTGACCTTCTTGATAACGCGAGTACGGATCTTCTTCTTCTTGGGCTTGCCGTCTTCGGAAATGGTTTCCACCACACGAACCTCCTCTGGAAGCTCCTGGATCTCCTCGGGTTTCTCTTCTTCGTAAGGGACCTCTTCGACGGTGACCGTAGTCTCCGAAGGCTTGTCATCCTCCTCGACGGTTTCGATCTTGGTGACTTCTTGCTTGTCTCCCTTGACCTTCTTGATAACGCGAGTACGGATCTTCTTCTTCTTGGGCTTGCCGTCTTCGGAAATGGTTTCCACCACACAAACCTCCTCTGGAAGCTCCTGGATCTCCTCGGGTTTCTCTTCTTCGTAAGGGACCTCTTCGACGGTGACGGTAGTCTCCGAAGGCTTGTCATCCTCCTCGACGGTTTCGATCTTGGTGACTTCTTGCTTGTCTCCCTTGACCTTCTTGATAACGCGAGTGCGGATCTTCTTCTTCTTGGGCTTGCCGTCTTCGGAAATGGTTTCCACCACACGAACCTCCTCTGGAAGCTCCTGGATCTCCTCGGGTTTCTCTTCTTCGTAAGGGACCTCTTCGACGGTGACGGTAGTCTCCGAAGGCTTGTCATCCTCCTCGACGGTTTCGATCTTGGTGACTTCTTGCTTGTCTCCCTTGACCTTCTTGATAACGCGAGTGCGGATCTTCTTCTTCTTGGGCTTGCCGTCTTCGGAAATGGTTTCCACCATACGAACCTCCTCTGGAAGCTCCTGGATCTCCTCGGGTTTCTCTTCTTCGTAAGGGACCTCTTCGACGGTGACGGTAGTCTCCGAAGGCTTGTCATCCTCCTCGACGGTTTCGATCTTGGTGACTTCTTGCTTGTCTCCCTTGACCTTCTTGATAACGCGAGTGCGGATCTTCTTCTTCTTGGGCTTGCCGTCTTCGGAAATGGTTTCCACCACACGAACCTCCTCTGGAAGCTCCTGGATCTCCTCGGGCTTCTCTTCTTCGTAGGGGACCTCTTCGACGGTGACTGTAGTCTCGGGTACCTTGTCATCCTCCTCGACGGTTTCGATCTTGGTGACTTCTTGCTTGTCTCCCTTGACCTTCTTGATAACGCGAGTACGAATCTTCTTCTTCTTAGGCTTGCCGTCTTCGGAAATGGTTTCCACCACACGAACCTCCTCTGGAAGCTCCTGGATCTCCTCGGGCTTCTCTTCTTCGTAGCGGACCTCTTCGACGGTGACTGTAGTCTCAGACGGTTTGTCATCCTCCTCGACGGTTTCGATCTTGGTGACTTCTTGCTTGTCTCCCTTGACCTTCTTGATAACGCGAGTGCGGATCTTCTTCTTCTTGGGCTTGCCGTCTTCGGAAATGGTTTCCACCACACGAACTTCCTCTGGAAGCTCTTCGATCTCCTCGGGCTTGTCCTCTTCGTAAGGGACCTCTTCGACGGTGACGGTAGTCTCCGAAGGCTTGTCATCCTCCTCGACGGTTTCGATCTTGGTGACTTCTTGCTTGTCTCCCTTGACCTTCTTGATAACGCGAGTGCGGATCTTCTTCTTCTTGGGCTTGCCGTCTTCGGAAATGGTTTCCACCACACGAACCTCCTCTGGAAGCTCCTGGATCTCCTCGGGTTTCTCTTCTTCGTAAGGGACCTCTTCGACGGTGACGGTAGTCTCCGAAGGCTTGTCATCCTCCTCGACGGTTTCGATCTTGGTGACTTCTTGCTTGTCTCCCTTGACCTTCTTGATAACGCGAGTGCGGATCTTCTTCTTCTTGGGCTTGCCGTCTTCGGAAATGGTTTCCACCACACGAACTTCCTCTGGAAGCTCTTCGATCTCCTCGGGCTTGTCCTCTTCGTAAGGGACCTCTTCGACGGTGACGGTAGTCTCCGAAGGCTGGTCATCCTCCTCGACGGTTTCGATCTTGGTGACTTCTTGCTTGTCTCCCTTGACCTTCTTGATAACGCGAGTGCGGATCTTCTTCTTCTTGGGCTTGCCGTCTTCGGAAATGGTTTCCACCACACGAACCTCCTCTGGAAGCTCCTGGATCTCCTCGGGCTTCTCTTCTTCGTAGGGGACCTCTTCGACGGTGACTGTAGTCTCGGGTACCTTGTCATCCTCCTCGACGGTTTCGATCTTGGTGACTTCTTGCTTGTCTCCCTTGACCTTCTTGATAACGCGAGTACGAATCTTCTTCTTCTTAGGCTTGCCGTCTTCGGAAATGGTTTCCACCACACGAACCTCCTCTGGAAGCTCCTGGATCTCCTCGGGCTTCTCTTCTTCGTAGAGGACCTCTTCGACGGTGACTGTAGTCTCAGACGGTTTGTCATCCTCCTCGACGGTTTCGATCTTGGTGACTTCTTGCTTGTCTCCCTTGACCTTCTTGATAACGCGAGTGCGGATCTTCTTCTTCTTGGGCTTGCCGTCTTCGGAAATGGTTTCCACCACACGAACTTCCTCTGGAAGCTCTTCGATCTCCTCGGGCTTGTCCTCTTCGTAAGGGACCTCTTCGACGGTGACGGTAGTCTCCGAAGGCTTGTCATCCTCCTCGACGGTTTCGATCTTGGTGACTTCTTGTTTGTCTCCCTTGACCTTCTTGATTACGCGAGTACGGATCTTCTTCTTCTTGGGTTTGCCATCTTCAGAGATAGATTCCACAACGCGAACCTCCTCTGGAAGCTCTTGGATCTCCTCGGGCTTCTCTTCTTTGTAAGGGACCTCTTCGACGGTGACGGTAGTCTCCGAAGGCTTGTCATCCTCCTCGACGGTTTCGATCTTGGTGACTTCTTGCTTGTCTCCCTTGACCTTCTTGATAACGCGAGTGCGGATCTTCTTCTTCTTGGGCTTGCCGTCTTCGGAAATGGTTTCCACCACACGAACCTCCTCTGGAAGCTCCTGGATCTCCTCGGGTTTCTCTTCTTCGTAAGGGACCTCTTCGACGGTGACTGTAGTCTCCGAAGGCTTGTCATCTTCCTCGACGGTTTCGATCTTGGTGACTTCTTGCTTGTCTCCCTTGACCTTCTTGATAACGCGAGTGCGGATCTTCTTCTTCTTGGGCTTGCCGTCTTCGGAAATGGTTTCCACCACACGAACTTCCTCTGGAAGCTCTTCGATCTCCTCGGGCTTGTCCTCTTCGTAAGGGACCTCTTCGACGGTGACGGTAGTCTCCGAAGGCTTGTCATCCTCCTCGACGGTTTCGATCTTGGTGACTTCTTGCTTGTCTCCCTTGACCTTCTTGATAACGCGAGTGCGGATCTTCTTCTTCTTGGGCTTGCCGTCTTCGGAAATGGTTTCCACCACACGAACCTCCTCTGGAAGCTCATGGATCTCCTCGGGTTTCTCTTCTTCGTAAGGGACCTCTTCGACGGTGACAGTAGTCTCAGAAGGCTTGTCATCCTCCTCGACGGTTTCGATCTTGGTGACTTCTTGCTTGTCGCCCTTGACCTTCTTGATAACGCGAGTGCGGATCTTCTTCTTCTTGGGCTTGCCGTCTTCGGAAATGGTTTCCACCACACGAACCTCCTCTGGAAGCTCCTGGATCTCCTCGGGTTTCTCTTCTTCGTAAGGGACCTCTTCGACGGTGACTGTAGTCTCCGAAGGCTTGTCATCCTCCTCGACGGTTTCGATCTTGGTGACTTCTTGCTTGTCTCCCTTGACCTTCTTGATAACGCGAGTACGAATCTTCTTCTTCTTAGGCTTGCCGTCTTCGGAAACTGTTTCCACCACACGAACCTCCTCTGGAAGCTCCTGGATCTCCTCGGGCTTCTCTTCTTCGTAGGGGACCTCTTCAATGGTGACTGTTGTCTCGGGTACCTTGTCATCCTCCTCGACGGTTTCGATCTTGGTGACTTCTTGCTTGTCTCCCTTGACCTTCTTGATAACGCGAGTGCGGATCTTCTTCTTCTTGGGCTTGCCGTCTTCGGAAATGGTTTCCACCACACGAACCTCCTCTGGAAGCTCATGGATCTCCTCGGGTTTCTCTTCTTCGTAAGGGACCTCTTCGACGGTGACAGTAGTCTCAGAAGGCTTGTCATCCTCCTCGACGGTTTCGATCTTGGTGACTTCTTGCTTGTCTCCCTTGACCTTCTTGATAACGCGAGTACGAATCTTCTTCTTCTTAGGCTTGCCGTCTTCGGAAACTGTTTCCACCACACGAACCTCCTCTGGAAGCTCCTGGATCTCCTCGGTCTTCTCTTCTTCGTAGGGGACCTCTTCAATGGTGACTGTTCTCTCGGGTACCTTGTCATCCTCCTCGACGGTTTCGATCTTGGTGACTTCTTGCTTGTCTCCCTTGACCTTCTTGATAACGCGAGTGCGGATCTTCTTCTTCTTGGGCTTGCCGTCTTCGGAAATGGTTTCCACCACACGAACCTCCCCTGGAAGCTCCTGGATCTCCTCGGGTTTCTCTTCTTCGTAAGGGACCTCTTCGACGGTGACAGTAGTCTCAGAAGGCTTGTCATCCTCCTCGACGGTTTCGATCTTGGTGACTTCTTGCTTGTCTCCCTTGACCTTCTTGATAACGCGAGTACGAATCTTCTTCTTCTTAGGCTTGCCGTCTTCGGAAACTGTTTCCACCACACGAACCTCCTCTGGAAGCTCCTGGATCTCCTCGGGTTTCTCTTCTTCGTAAGGGACCTCTTCGACGGTGACAGTAGTCTCAGAAGGCTTGTCATCCTCCTCGACGGTTTCGATCTTGGTGACTTCTTGCTTGTCTCCCTTGACCTTCTTGATAACGCGAGTGCGGATCTTCTTCTTCTTAGGCTTGCCGTCTTCGGAAACTGTTTCCACCACACGAACCTCCTCTGGAAGCCCCTGGATCTCCTCGGTCTTCTCTTCTTCGTAGGGGACCTCTTCTATGGTGACTGTTGTCTCGGGTACCTTGTCATCCTCCTCGACGGTTTCGATCTTGGTGACTTCTTGCTTGTCTCCCTTGACCTTCTTGATAACGCGAGTGCGGATCTTCTTCTTCTTGGGCTTGCCGTCTTCGGAAATGGTTTCCACCACACGAACCTCCTCTGGAAGCTCCTGGATCTCCTCGGGTTTCTCTTCTTCGTAAGGGACCTCTTCGACGGTGACAGTAGTCTCAGAAGGCTTGTCATCCTCCTCGACGGTTTCGATCTTGGTGACTTCGTGCTTGTCTCCCTTGACCTTCTTGATAACGCGAGTACGAATCTTCTTCTTCTTAGGCTTGCCGTCTTCGGAAACTGTTTCCACCACAATAACCTCCTCTGGAAGCTCCTGGATCTCCTCGGGTTTCTCTTCTTCGTAAGGGACCTCTTCGACGGTGACAGTAGTCTCAGAAGGCTTGTCATCCTCCTCGACGGTTTCGATCTTGGTGACTTCTTGCTTGTCTCCCTTGACCTTCTTGATAACGCGAGTACGAATCTTCTTCTTCTTAGGCTTGCCGTCTTCGGAAACTGTTTCCACCACACGAACCTCCTCTGGAAGCTCCTGGATCTCCTCGGGTTTCTCTTCTTCGTAAGGGACCTCTTCGACGGTGACAGTAGTCTCAGAAGGCTTGTCATCCTCCTCGACGGTTTCGATCTTGGTGACTTCTTGCTTGTCTCCCTTGACCTTCTTGATAACGCGAGTACGAATCTTCTTCTTCTTAGGCTTGCCGTCTTCGGAAACTGTTTCCACCACACGAACCTCCTCTGGAAGCTCCTGGATCTCCTCGGGCTTCTCTTCTTCGTAAGGAACCTCTTCGACGGTGACTGTAGTCTCCGACGGCTTGTCATCCTCCTCGACGGTTTCGATCTTGGTGACTTCTTGCTTGTCTCCCTTGACCTTCTTGATAACGCGAGTGCGGATCTTCTTCTTCTTGGGCTTGCCGTCTTCGGAAATGGTTTCCACCACACGAACCTCCTCTGGAAGCTCCTGGATCTCCTCGGGCTTCTCTTCTTCGTAGGGGACCTCTTCGACGGTGACTGTAGTCTCGGGTACCTTGTCATCCTCCTCGACGGTTTCGATCTTGGTGACTTCTTGCTTGTCGCCCTTGACCTTCTTGATTACCCGAGTGCGGATCTTCTTCTTCTTGGGCTTGCCGTCTTCGGAAATGGTTTCCACCACACGAACTTCCTCTGGAAGCTCCTGGAACTCCACGGGCTTCTCTTCTTCGTAAGGGACCTCTTCAACGGTGACTGTTGTCTCGGGTACCTTGTCATCCTCCTCGACGGTTTCGATCTTGGTGACTTCTTGTTTGTCTCCCTTGACCTTCTTGATAACGCGAGTACGGATCTTCTTCTTCTTGGGCTTGCCGTCTTCGGAAATGGTTTCCACCACACGAACCTCCTCTGGAAGCTCCTGGATCTCCTCGGGCTTCTCTTCTTCGTAGGGGACCTCTTCGACGGTGACGGTAGTCTCCGAAGGCTTGTCATCCTCCTCGACGGTCTCGATCTTGGTGACTTCTTGCTTGTCTCCCTTGACCTTCTTGATAACGCGAGTGCGGATCTTCTTCTTCTTGGGCTTGCCGTCTTCGGAAATGGTTTCCACCACACGAACCTCCTCTGGAAGCTCCTGGATCTCCTCGGGTTTCTCTTCTTCGTAAGGGACCTCTTCGACGGTGACGGTAGTCTCCGAAGGCTTGTCATCCTCCTCGACGGTTTCGATCTTGGTGACTTCTTGCTTGTCTCCCTTGACCTTCTTGATAACGCGAGTACGAATCTTCTTCTTCTTAGGCTTGCCGTCTTCGGAAATGGTTTCCACCACACAAACCTCCTCTGGAAGCTCCTGGATCTCCTCGGGTTTCTCTTCTTCGTAGGGAAACTCTTCGACGGTGACTGTAGTCTCCGACGGCTTGTCATCCTCCTCGACGGTTTCGATCTTGGTGACTTCTTGTTTGTCTCCCTTGACCTTCTTGATTACCCGAGTGCGGATCTTCTTCTTCTTGGGTTTGCCATCTTCAGAGATAGATTCTACAACGCGAACATCCTCTGGAAGCTCCTGGATCTCCTCGGGCTTCTCTTCTTCGAAGGGGACCTCTTCGACGGTGACTGTAGTCTCCGAAGGCTTGTCATCCTCCTCGACGGTTTCGATCTTGGTGACTTCTTGTTTGTCTCCCTTGACCTTCTTGATTACGCGAGTGCGGATCTTCTTCTTCTTGGGTGTGCCATCTTCAGAGATAGATTCTACAACGCGAACCTCCTCTGGAAGCTCCTGGATCTCCTCGGGTTTCACTTCTTCGTAAGGAACCTCTTCAACGGTGACAGTAGTCTCAGATGGCTTGTCATCCTCCTGAACGGTTTCGATCTTGGTAACTTCTTGCTTGTCTCCCTTGACCTTCTTGATTACGCGAGTGCGGATCTTCTTCTTCTTGGGTGTGCCATCTTCAGAGATAGATTCTACAACGCGAACCTCCTCTGGAAGCTCCTGGATCTCCTCGGGCTTCTCTTCTTCGTAGGGAACCTCTTCGACGGTGACTGTAGTCTCCGACGGCTTGTCATCCTCCTCGACGGTTTCGATCTTGGTGACTTCTTGTTTGTCTCCCTTGACCTTCTTGATTACGCGAGTGCGGATCTTCTTCTTCTTGGGTTTGCCATCTTCAGAGATATATTCCACAACGCGAACCTCCTCTGGAAGCTCCTGGATCTCCTCGGGTTTCTCTTCTTCGTAAGGAACCTCTTCAACGGTGACAGTAGTCTCAGATGGCTTGTCATCCTCCTGAACGGTTTCGATCTTGGTAACTTCTTGCTTGTCTCCCTTGACCTTCTTGATTACGCGAGTGCGGATCTTCTTCTTCTTGGGTGTGCCATCTTCAGAGATAGATTCTACAACGCGAACCTCTTCTGGCAGCTCCTGGATCTCCTCGGGCTTCTCTTCTTCGTAAGGAACCTCTTCGACGGTGACTGTAGTCTCCGACGGCTTGTCATCCTCCTCGACGGTTTCGATCTTAGTGACTTCTTGTTTGTCGCCCTTGACCTTCTTGATTACGCGAGTACGGATCTTCTTCTTCTTGGGTTTGCCATCTTCACAGATAGATTCCACAACGCGAACCTCCTCTGGAAGCTCTTGGATCTCCTCGGGCTTATCTTCTTCGTAAGGAACCTCTTCAACGGTGACAGTAGTCTCAGAAGGCTTGTCATCCTCCTCGACGGTTTCGATCTTGGTGACTTCGTGCTTGTCGCCCTTGACCTTCTTGATTACGCGAGTGCGGATCTTCTTCTTCTTGGGTTTGCCATCTTCAGAGATAGATTCTACAACGCGAACCTCCTCTGGAAGCTCCTGGATCTCCTCGGGCTTCTCTTCTTCGTAGGGGACCTCTTCGACGGTGACTGTAGTCTCGGGTACCTTGTCATCCTCCTCGACGGTTTCGATCTTGGTGACTTCTTGCTTGTCGCCCTTGACCTTCTTGATTACCCGAGTGCGGATCTTCTTCTTCTTGGGCTTGCCGTCTTCGGAAATGGTTTCCACCACACGAACCTCCTCTGGAAGCTCCTGAATCTCCTCGGGCTTCTCTTCTTTGTAGGGGACTTCTTCAACGGTGACTGTAGTCTCGGGTACCTTGTCATCCTCCTCGACGGTTTCGATCTTGGTGACTTCTTGCTTGTCGCCCTTGACCTTCTTGATTACCCGAGTGCGGATCTTCTTCTTCTTGGGCTTGCCGTCTTCGGAAATGGTTTCCACCACACGAACCTCCTCTGGAAGCTCCTGGATCTCCTCGGGCTTCTCTTCTTCGTAGGGGACCTCTTCGACGGAGACTGTAGTCTCCGCAGGCTTGTCATCCTCCTCGACGGTTTCGATCTTGGTGACTTCTTGCTTGTCGCCCTTGACCTTCTTGATTACGCGAGTACGTATCTTCTTCTTCTTGGGCTTGCCATCTTCAGAGAAAGATTCTACAACGCGAACCTCCTCTGGAAGCTCCTGAATCTCCTCGGGCTTCTCTTCTTCGTAGGGGACCTCTTCAACGGTGACTGTAGTCTCAGAAGGCTTGTCATCCTCCTCGACGGTTTCGATTTTGGTGACTTCTTGTTTGTCGCCCTTGACCTTCTTGATTACCCGAGTACGGATCTTCTTCTTCTTGGGCTTGCCGTCTTCAGAAATAGATTCCACAACGCGAACCTCCTCTGGAAGCTCGTGAATCTCCTCGGGCTTCTCTTCTTCGTAAGGAACCTCTTCAACGGTGACTGTAGTCTCGGGTACCTTGTCATCCTCTTCGACGGTTTCGATCTTGGTGACTTCTTGTTTGTCGCCCTTGACCTTCTTGATTACCCGAGTGCGGATCTTCTTCTTCTTGGGCTTGCCATCTTCAGAAATAGATTCCACAACGCGAACCTCATCTGGAAGCTCCTGGATCTCCTCGGGCTTCTCTTCTTCGTAGGGGACCTCTTCGACGGAGACTGTAGTCTCCGCAGGCTTGTCATCCTCCTCGACGATTTCGATCTTGGTGACTTCGTGCTTGTCGCCCTTGACCTTCTTGATTACGCGAGTACGGATCTTCTTCTTCTTGGGTTTGCCATCTTCAGAGATAGATTCTACAACGCGAACCTCCTCTGGAAGCTCCTGAATCTCCTCGGGCTTCTCTTCTTTGTAGGGGACTTCTTCAACGGTGACTGTAGTCTCGGGTACCTTGTCATCCTCCTCGACGGTTTCGATCTTGGTGACTTCTTGCTTGTCGCCCTTGACCTTCTTGATTACCCGAGTGCGGATCTTCTTCTTCTTGGGCTTGCCGTCTTCGGAAATGGTTTCCACCACACGAACCTCCTCTGGAAGCTCCTGGATCTCCTCGGGCTTCTCTTCTTCGTAGGGGACCTCTTCGACGGAGACTGTAGTCTCCGCAGGCTTGTCATCCTCCTCGACGGTTTCGATCTTGGTGACTTCTTGCTTGTCGCCCTTGACCTTCTTGATTACGCGAGTACGTATCTTCTTCTTCTTGGGCTTGCCATCTTCAGAGAAAGATTCTACAACGCGAACCTCCTCTGGAAGCTCCTGAATCTCCTCGGGCTTCTCTTCTTCGTAGGGGACCTCTTCAACGGTGACTGTAGTCTCAGAAGGCTTGTCATCCTCCTCGACGGTTTCGATTTTGGTAACTTCTTGTTTGTCGCCCTTGACCTTCTTGATTAGCCGAGTGCGGATCTTCTTCTTCTTGGGCTTGCCATCTTCAGAAATAGATTCCACAACGCGAACCTCCTCTGGAAGCTCGTGAATCTCCTCGGGCTTCTCTTCTTCGTAAGGAACCTCTTCAACGGTGACTGTAGTCTCGGGTACCTTGTCATCCTCTTCGACGGTTTCGATCTTGGTGACTTCTTGTTTGTCGCCCTTGACCTTCTTGATTACCCGAGTGCGGATCTTCTTCTTCTTGGGCTTGCCATCTTCAGAAATAGATTCCACAACGCGAACCTCCTCTGGAAGCTCCTGAATCTCCTCGGGCTTCTCTTCTTCGTAAGGAACCTCTTCAACGGTGACTGTAGTCTCGGGTACCTTGTCATCCTCCTCGACGGTTTCGATCTTGGTGACTTCTTGCTTGTCGCCCTTGACCTTCTTGATTACCCGAGTGCGGATCTTCTTCTTCTTGGGCTTGCCGTCTTCGGAGATAGATTCTACAACGCGAACCTCCTCTGGAAGCTCCTGAATCTCCTCGGGCTTCTCTTCTTCGTAGGGGACCTCTTCAACGGTGACTGTAGTCTCAGAAGGCTTGTCATCCTCCTCGACGGTTTCGATCTTGGTGACTTCTTGTTTGTCGCCCTTGACCTTCTTGATTACCCGAGTGCGGATCTTCTTCTTCTTGGGCTTGCCATCTTCAGAAATACATTCCACCACACGAACCTCCTCTGGAAGCTCCTGGATCTCCTCGGGTTTTTCTTCTTCGTAGGGGACCTCTTCGACGGTGACTGTAGTCTCGGGTACCTTGTCATCCTCTTCGACGGTTTCGATCTTGGTGACTTCTTGCTTGTCGCCCTTGACCTTCTTGATTACCCGAGTGCGGATCTTCTTCTTCTTGGGCTTGCCGTCTTCGGAGATAGATTCTACAACGCGAACCTCCTCTGGAAGCTCCTGAATCTCCTCGGGCTTCTCTTCTTCGTAGGGGACCTCTTCAACGGTGACTGTAGTCTCAGAAGGCTTGTCATCCTCCTCGACGGTTTCGATCTTGGTGACTTCTTGTTTGTCGCCCTTGACCTTCTTGATTACCCGAGTGCGGATCTTCTTCTTCTTGGGCTTGCCATCTTCACAAATAGATTCCACCACACGAACTTCCTCTGGAAGCTCCTGGATCTCCTCGGGTTTTTCTTCTTCGTAGGGGACCTCTTCGACGGTGACTGTAGTCTCGGGTACCTTGTCATCCTCTTCGACGGTTTCGATCTTGGTGACTTCGTGCTTGTCGCCCTTGACCTTCTTGATTACCCGAGTGCGGATCTTCTTCTTCTTGGGCTTGCCATCTTCAGAAATAAATTCCACAACGCGAACCTCCTCTGGAAGCTCCTGAATCTCCTCGGGCTTCTCTTCTTCGTAAAGAACCTCTTCGACGGTGACAGTAGTCTCAGAAGGCTTGTCATCCTCCTCGACGGTTTCGATCTTGGTGACTTCTTGCTTGTCTCCCTTGACCTTCTTGATAACGCGAGTACGAATCTTCTTCTTTTTGGGCTTGCCGTCTGCGGAAATAGTTTCGACAACGCGAACCTCCTCTGGAAGCTCCTGAATCTCCTCGGGCTTCTCTTCTTCGTAGGGGACCTCTTCAACGGTGACTGTAGTCTCAGAAGGCTTGTCATCCTCCTCGACTATTTCGATCTTGGTGACTTCTTGCTTGTCGCCCTTGACCTTCTTGATTACCCGAGTGCGGGTCTTCTTCTTTTTGGGCTTGCCGTCTGCGGAAATGGTTTCCACCACACGAACCTCCTCTGGAAGCTCCTGGATCTCCTCGGGCTTCTCTTCTTCGTAGCGGATCTCTTCGACGGAGACTGTAGTCTCCGCAGGCTTGTCATCCTCCTCGACGGCTTCGATCTTGGTGACTTCTTGTTTGTCGCCCTTGACCTTCTTGATAACGCGAGTACGAATCTTCTTCTTCTTGGGCTTGCCGTCTTCGGAGATAGATTCTACAACGCGAACCTCCTCTGGAAGCTCCTGAATCTCCTCGGGCTTCTCTTCTTCGTAAGGAACCTCTTCGACGGTGACTGTAGTCTCGGGTACCTTGTCATCCTCCTCGACGGTTTCGATCTTGGTGACTTCTTGCTTGTCGCCCTTGACCTTCTTGATTACCCGAGTGCGGATCTTCTTCTTCTTGGGCTTGCCGTCTTCGGAAATGGTTTCCACCACACGAACCTCCTCTGGAAGCTCTTGGATCTCCTCGGGCTTCTCTTCTTCGTAGGGGACCTCTTCAACGGTGACAGTAGTCTCAGAAGGCTTGTCATCCTCCTCGACGGTTTCGATCTTGGTGACTTCTTGTTTGTCGCCCTTGACCTTCTTGATTACGCGAGTGCGGATCTTCTTCTTCTTGGGTTTGCCATCTTCAGAGATAGATTCTACAACGCGAACCTCCTCTGGAAGCTCCTGGATCTCCTCGGGTTTCTCTTCTTCGTAGGGGACCTCTTCGACGGTGACTGTAGTCTCGGGTACCTTGTCATCCTCTTCGACGGTTTCGATCTTGGTGACTTCTTGCTTGTCGCCCTTGACCTTCTTGATTACGCGAGTGCGGATCTTCTTCTTCTTGGGCTTGCCATCTTCAGAGATAGATTCTACAACGCGAACCTCCTCTGGAAGCTCCTGAATCTCCTCGGGCTTCTCTTCTTCGTAGGGGACCTCTTCGACGGTGACTGTAGTCTCGGGTACCTTGTCATCCTCCTCGACGGTTTCGATCTTGGTGACTTCGTGCTTGTCTCCCTTGACCTTCTTGATAACGCGAGTACGGATCTTCTTCTTCTTGGGCTTGCCGTCTGCGGAAATAGTTTCGACAACGCGAACCTCCTCTGGAAGCTCCTGAATCTCCTCGGGTTTCTCTTCTTCGTAGGGGACCTCTTCGACGGTGACTGTAGTCTCGGGTACCTTGTCATCCTCTTCGACGGTTTCAATCTTGGTGACTTCTTGCTTGTCGCCCTTGACCTTCTTGATTACGCGAGTGCGGATCTTCTTCTTCTTGGGCTTGCCATCTTCAGAGATAGATTCTACAACGCGAACCTCCTCTGGAAGCTCCTGTATCTCCTCGGGCTTCTCTTCTTCGTAGGGGACCTCTTCGACGGTGACTGTAGTCTCGGGTACCTTGTCATCCTCCTCGACGGTTTCGATCTTGGTGACTTCGTGCTTGTCTCCCTTGACCTTCTTGATAACGCGAGTACGGATCTTCTTCTTCTTGGGCTTGCCGTCTTCTGAAATAGTTTCGACAACGCGAACCTCCTCTGGAAGCTCCTGAATCTCCTCGGGCTTCTCTTCTTCGTAAGGAACCTCTTCGACGGTGACTGTAGTCTCGGGTACCTTGTCATCCTCCTCGACGGTTTCGATCTTGGTGACTTCTTGCTTGTCGCCCTTGACCTTCTTGATTACCCGAGTGCGGATCTTCTTCTTCTTGGGCTTGCCGTCTTCGGAAATGGTTTCCACCACACGAACCTCCTCTGGAAGCTCTTGGATCTCCTCGGGCTTCTCTTCTTCGTAGGGGACCTCTTCAACGGTGACAGTAGTCTCAGAAGGCTTGTCATCCTCCTCGACGGTTTCGATCTTGGTGACTTCGTGCTTATCGCCCTTGACCTTCTTGATTACGCGAGTACGGATCTTCTTCTTCTTGGGTTTGCCATCTTCAGAGATAGATTCTACAACGCGAACCTCCTCTGGAAGCTCCTGGATCTGCTCGGGTTTTTCTTCTTCGTAAGGAACCTCTTCAACGGTGACTGTAGTCTCGGGTACCTTGTCATCCTCCTCGACGGTTTCGATCTTGGTGACTTCCTGTTTGTCTCCCTTGACCTTCTTGATTACCCGAGTACGGATCTTCTTCTTCTTGACTTTTCCGTCTTCCGCAATTTCCTCAATGACTTGCAGAGTTTCGGGGGTTTCCGTGATTGCGGTTTCATTAGTTTCTTGTTTGTGTTTGGGTGTTTTTTGTGGTGTGGTGTGTGGTGTGTCTGTGGTTTGTTTTGTATCTGTGTAAAAAAGTGTGCGTTTAATATAAAGTTCTGTTTGGAGAATGTGGGGTGTTTGCTTTGTTCTGTGTAATATGTGCTTGTGCTTTGGTTCTTGAGGGTCGAAGGGTGGGTGTAATGGAAGTAATACGCCTTTTTTTGCTGAACTTCTTAGACTAAACTTAGTTGGATACTTACCCACAGGTGGTGTTACCGTTTTAACTTTAAAAATCTCTTGTGTAATACTCTCCGCTAACAGTTTCTGTGTGTGGTCTTCATCTTTCGATGTGTAAATTGTGGCTTGTGACTCGTTTGTTGTGGAAAGTGCTACAGCATGTGTTACCCTTTCAGGGAGTGCAGTTTCAGGCATTGATATCGGGAGGAGGAGGTCAGAGGTATCCTCCGACACAAATTGTGTTGTTTGTAAAGCATTCTTCAGGGTATCCTCAACCAGTGTTGGGTGTAGCTTCTCCCCAGTGAGTGTGACTTTTGGACTCGTTGTTGTGGCTGTGTTGAATATGTCTGGTTGTTCTGTTGTGGCTATGGATGTGGTGTTTTCTTTGATACGTATACTTGCGTTCTGTGGCTGTATGTGTTGTTCCTCACTATCTAACCGATTGACATTCTCTTGTGCGATTGTTAGCTCATTCAGATACGTACTCTGTGTGGTTATCGAAGGAAGCGCTTGCTTTTCATCTACTTGAGGGCTTGAGATCCTCTCGCGAATGGTTCCCTTCTCATGCAACACACTTGTCACGGCTGCCACTCTTGTATCGGCTGGTGCCAGCTTTGCCTGTTCTCTGGATGGCGTTCCTTCTTCCAGCAAAGTGCTTACCACTTCACAGGGAAGCTGTTCGCTTTGAACAATGTTTTTGTGTGGCACAGTTTCTGGTGTTGCTTTGCCCTCCAGGGGCTTCTCAGTCGGAACACGACCCAAGGATGGCATCACAGACACCTCTTCCACCACCGAAACCTTCAACTCAGAAATGACAGTGGTATCCGTTGACGGGACTGCACTAATTGGCTTGAACTCTCCATGGCCCTCGATGTTCTCGTAGACATTTACGGTTGAGCTTTCGACGGGCTTAAGGAGCGTTTCTACAGAACGAGTCTTTGTGCGGATACGGTCGCCCTGCTCTACGACCATCTCTGGCGACTGCTCGTAGGTCTGTTGCTCGGCCACACTGGCAATCTCATGTGGCGCCTGGCGAGTGAGTTGGGCGTTACGCTCGTCTGGCTTTTGCAGGTCATACGATTCCTGGATGGAGCTGATGCCCAGAACCTCTTCGGTTACCAGAGACTTCTTCAGTTCAACGTTGGACACGCGCGCGGTGTCCCCATCGCGAATGGGTTCGAGCGGGAGATTTTCTTCCTTGAGAAGTGTTGATTGTATAGTTGTCACATGGGCACGATTGATTTCGGAATCCTCTACGATCTTTAGGTATTGACCGTCTTGTTCCGATATGTCCTTGATATCTTTTGTGATCTCATACGTATTGATCTCTGATATGGTGGTATGGACATTGGTTTCATCCGATTTGACCTTTGCTTGAGCAAGGCTCTCATACTCAATGATGGCTTCACTCGTCAGTTCGAGAGGTAATTGAGTTTCCACCATGTGCGATTGAGTGATCCTCTCGCTGGACGTGGGACTCACTTGGAATGTTACAGGACCTTGTGGCGTCTCTATTTTATTCACATTTTCCATGGGAATCACTTGAGTGATGAGTGTCTCCCTTTGTGTGCCTTCAATGAAGGCCTTGCCATACGATTCTTGAATGATCACCTGCAGGGTCTCTTCCTTATCCATAATTAAGTCATCGAATCGGACCTGGACCTTCCTAGAGTCCTCTCCACTGACTAGATGCCTCTGTGCCTCTTGTGGCGCTGTGGTCTGAGTATCCAAAATACTTTCGGAGGATTCCAGAGCAAACACATCTGATGTTGTGAGGCCTTGGAGGAGATCTACCACAGGTTTTGCTGTGGCCTCTTGGGGCTTGAGAGCTTCGATTGTAGACTCCTTTTGGAAGACACCCGGTTGTGTGTCCACCGATGTTGCCTTAAACATAACATCCATGGACTCAGCAGCACTTACGGGGACTATATCTGCAGTTATGGGTAAATTCTCCGACTTCTCGATACCCTGGACCTCGCTGACTGTTACCTCGTGCTTCCTGCCTTCATAGGTGGACTGTGCCACCCGCTCGTCTGTTGGAAGAGTGAGCAATTCGTCGACATCCTCCACAGTCTGCGTCCTTGTGGTGATCGGTAATCCAAGCAGTGAAGATATCCCATCTGCTGTGGCCACAGCATAGGTTTGTTCAGGCGTTGCAAGTATTTTCTCTGCCTCCACAGTTTGTTGCAGCTCTGTGGCATGAGTGTGTGCCAATTCGTGGGTGACTTGTGCCTGCTGCACGCTGCATTTATCAGTTGGACGATCTTCTCCCATGGATTCATAGACCGCTGTGGTGTCTACCATTTTTGCATGCAGATTGGTGTCATCCTCCGTTAGTTTTGCCTTCTGTTTGGGTGTACTTTCCTCGCCCAGCACCTTCTCCGATTCCAGAACCCTCTGATCCTCAAGGATGATGGAGTGGCTTAGATTGTCCTGAACTTTGAAGGCTGTTCGTTGATCTGTTGGCTTTTCTTCGAAAGGTTGCGTTCCATCAACGACCAGGCACTCGGTGACCATCGTATGCTTGTGTGGAACCATCGACTGTTGGGGGCTTAAGGTTTCTGGCTTTATGGAGTCCACAGATCTGGACACAGTGTCATATACGGTGGTCTCTGTAGATTTTGTTTCATTGAAAACATCCATTCTGGGTGAGGCATATTTATCCGAGACACTGAAGTCCTCTAGCTTTCCAGTGCTCTGGCTGTCCAGGACTCCCTCGGTAAGGGCTGCCGTCAGAAGGTCTGCCGACACAGGTCTTGCCTGCTCTGCCTCTGGGGCGACTACTCTCAGATCTTCCTCATGCTCAAAGGTGTTCTCCTGTCGAGCCAAGGCCAATCCAGTGGTGGAGTCCAGGGCAATCTTCACGAGCTGTTCGCTTGGCTGGGGCACGCCTTCCAGCAGCTCCTCTTTCTCCAGAACTTCTGTTTCACGCACATTTATCTCCTGGCAGCTAGTAATGACGGATTGCCCCGTGGCCGCATGTGGCAGGAGGCTGCTCAACTCCGTAACTTGATCCAAAATATCGACCTTCTCCGAGAGTGGGATTTTCTGTGAGAATTCATTGAGTTTTGGTTGAATCTGAACCTCCAGTGGTATTTCTTTGTCCCTCAACTCCTGTGTTCTTTCACTCACTATTGCTGTGGTGGTCTTTAAAGCTGAAGTTGTTTCCATGATTTCTACATTCGTCACGGATGATTTCTGATAATCCGGAGTGGCATAGTCCTGCAGTCCTTCGAGAAGGGTGATTTGCTCCACCTTGGGCAATGTGATTTCTCCTATGTTCAAATGTGCCTGTTGTTGTGGCAGTCTCTGCTGATCTTCGATGCCTTCCAACGATTCCATATGCTGCGATCTCTCGGTATTTGCCACCTGCAGCGCCCTGGCTGCACCAACGGCTGCCGATTGGACTGGATGTGGCTCTTCTAGGGGGATTTCGGTTTCCTGCTCCAAAGTCACGCACGAACTGGTCTCCAATTGTGGCAACAAATCAAAGTGGGACTCGGTTTGCTGTTCTTGTGGCTGGACATCCTTTGGTCGCGGCTGTAGACTTTCCAAAGACGAATTTTCCATAATATTGGTACCATATTGCTGCTGCATGCTGACATCTGCCCGGGCGGCCGTTGGTTTTCCTTCATGTGGTTGCTGCCCCGTGGACTCCATGGGCACTATCTCCATTCCCTCTGCATGCCTGAAGTCCTCTGTGGTGGGATGGGCCCTCGTTTGCTGTTCTTTTGGCAGGGTATCTGCAAGTTCGCTGCTCGTTTCGCTAATCTGTACGTTCGTTACCTCCAACGGGTGTTGGGTTTCATCCATTAAGACGGTTCCACTCTTGAGCTCTGGCTGTGGCTTCGCCTCCAGGTAGCTAGTTCCTTCCATAAGATCGGGCTTAAGTGCCACTCCAATGGGCATTGTATCTAGAACTTGAATTGCCGACACGGAACGTGTATCTGCCGGTGCGAGATCCCCAGAAGTTTGTCCCACATTAACCTCAAAGACTGTTGTTACTCTGAGATCCACAGGGACTATCTTTTCTACAGCGGACTGTTCTGTTTGGGGCGAATCCTGGGGGAATGCTTTCTCCTTTTCAGCCACCGTATCCTGCTTGATCTCGAGCGCTGTTTGCTCTACGATATTCATTGTGGCATCCAAAAACTCTGGCACTACGGAAAGGAGTTCCTTTTCGGTGTGAATCACAGTGGGAGCTGCCTGTATCTCTGCCACTAGCTCGCCATCAGATATGTTGATCTTTCCCTGTCCCTTGGGGTGTTCAACATCTGGAACAGAGCCCAAGGTGTCGTACAGAGCCTCCTGACTGCTTTCCGCAGCGCCATATGCCTTGGTTAGCGTTTCCTTTGCGGGTTTTGTGGTCTTCACAGGGGCTTCTATCAGGTCTTGGGCCATCTCCACGAGATTTGTCTCTAGAGTTTCGCCAATTGTCAAGGCACTCGATTGTCCTAGGGTACCCTCAACGACCTTTGGGGTCTCCTGCAAGCCCAAATAACTTGCTGCCTCCTCATTTGAGACGGTTTCTTGGGTTACAACATGGCGCTGGGTTTCCAACTCCATGATGGCGCTCTTTTCATCAGTCGTGAAGTCTGGGATTTGCTCTTCCAATGGACTATGGGCATCTGCTGTGATGTTGATCAATCCTTCGGTTAATACCAAGTGTTGCAAGGCCTTTGTGTCTGCCACTCGTGGCTTGGTTTCGCTTTCTTGGACGGACTCAAAGGGTTCTGTTTCTTGAGTGACGAGGGGAACTTCTTCTGGCTTAAGACGGACATCGGCAGTACCCTTTGTGGGCTGGGCTTCCAGGGGTATGGTGTCTACACTTTCTAGGACCTGCGAGGCCCTGGTACTTACGGACTTGTGCTCTAGAATACTCCTCGATGATGTCTCCTGGCGAATCTCCGATGCAGGTTTCAGTTCTCCCACAGAATCCTCTGGTTGGCATTCGCTTATGGCAAGACTTCGATTTGAAGCTAATTCTGGATAAATCTTCTCAGCTATTGGCTTTATCTGAACTACATCATTTCCCAAAGTTTCACCTATCGTTTCTTCGGTGATTAGAAGACTTTCCTGATCCAGGAAATGCGATTCTATAGTCTCCTCCTTCATGGACCTACTCTCCTTGAGCTGCTCAATGCCCTCCAATATTTGGGGATGCTCCTCTGTGAGCTCATGGGACAACAGAATGTCGCCATGCGCCTGCTGGCCTACAGTTTTCAGTGGCTGCAGATCATCTATGGGCTCCTCTATGCTTGGCGATTCCACCAGCAAAGGACGCGATTCCTTGACCTTGCGCTGGGCCTTTACGCTCTTGGGGATCTTCGAGGGCTTCAGCTCCTTGGGCGAGGCCTCTCGTGCCTCTGTTTCGGTGACATCCACTGCGTGTTGATGCCGCACTTCGATTTGTTCACCCAAACGAGTTTCTTGTGGCCTTTTGAAGTCCTGGGCCCCAACTTTTTCGAGTGCCACACACTCCTCACTGATGGCCAACACCTTCTGGGGCAGTATATCGTCCTGTACTTTAGCTGGTTGCGGTTTCGGTGTCGAAAGCTCTGTGGCCTCTGCACTGGCAATTGTTTCGACCGTGTCTCTGGGTAGATTTTGCATGGATAGTGTTTCATATGGCAATGGAAGCTCTTGCACTTCCTCGAGGGTTTCCTCCTCTTCGATGGGTGTGGTTTCTTCATGTTTCTGTAACTGTATCTGTTGCTGTACCTCTTCTTGTATCTGTATCTGTTGCTGTACCTCTTCCTGTATCTGTATTTGTTCTGTATGTTTCTTGTGCTTTTTCTGCGTTTTCCTTTTCACAATTTGCTGTTGGACAACAACCTCTTCTGCTGTTGCCTCTGCCTCTGCCTCTGCTTCTGCCTGTATGTGCACTTGTTCTTGTTGTACGAGTATCTGTTCTTGTTGTTGTAGTACTTGTATCTTTTCTTGTTGCTGTATGAATTGTTTATCCACTTTTGTGGTTGCTGTTTCTGTGAATGTAATGTTTATTAAACAATGACAATGTCTCGACCTCTCTACTAGTATTTGTGTGGTTGGTTGGTTGGTTTGTTGTGTTGCAAGAACAATAAATGAGATTTCAAAATATGCAGAAAGCCAGGCAATAAGCGTTCTATTCATCGATTAGTATCTGTAGTATACGAAGTATCTTATATAGCCAGTGCCGTAAAGCCGTAAAATGAGTTGCACAGAAAACATTTAAATCATTTCTTCGGGAATCGGTAATCGGTAATCGGTAAACGGGAATATCTTACCTCATGTGGCAGGGGTGTGGGCATCATCTTGGGGCATTTCGTGCATTTGATTGAAGCAGCTCTTCTACGTGTACTCTTGTCATCAAATGAGCATTTTGAAGAAGCAAAAGCATTATAGTGGGCATGAAAATCAATTGTTATATCGCTTATATGGTATTTATAGCTGCAGCAAGATATACATATACGATATATATAGCCTTTTTTTGTTGTTTAGTGATGGTTGATTAGCTGTTAATGGGGCATACTACTGTTTTTTTTTTTTAGACTCTTTGGAATACTCTTTAGAATATACACATGATTTTTTTGTTTGTTTCTCTTTTTTTTTAATTGTTATATTTTTGTAAATTATTTTGTTTTTCAATGTCATAAATATTAATATTTTTGAGACTGTAGTTCATATGGTGGGATCGTGGTTGGTTGGTGGTATACATCGTTACTGGTGGTAGGATTTCGTTATATATATTTTGTGGTTTTTTTTGTTTGTTTGTTTTACAGATCATCTGTGTTTATGTTCAAACCTTCTTCAACGATTATCGTTCGTTCCTCAATAAAAGTTTCCTCTGCACGAGGGTTATTTATTGTGGGATTCATGGGAGTCATGTGGTGCACGCAAAGGTAAGTATTTTTTGTTTACAAAGCAGATTTGACATGTTAAAAAGTAAAAAAAGAAAGATAAATAAATTTACATTTTCTTATCGCGTTTTATCTACCAGAAGCTTTTGCGGCAAATACTCACCGATTTTGACATGCGTTATAGCCTCGTGACTTTCAATTATTTGCGATGTCTCTACTATTCTCTAGATTTTCGATTTCACACAACCAAAAGTATATAAAAAAAAATTGATGAAAAAAAAAAATGTGAATACGTCAATCATTTATCTGAACGAATCAGAGCTCGCAAAAAACCCTCAGACACAGAAAAACCTATAACGAAAGCCTAGTACATCCGATCTTGTATCTTTAGAAAAAGCTTAGAGGGGGGGAAAAAAATGGTCTCGTAAGTCCGTTGTGAGAGAGAGAGGAAGACAAGAGTCTTATCGAAAAAAACCCATAAATTATAATAGATTTAATTATAAATTAAAAAAAGTCTAAAAAGGAGTATTTCTTGAGCAAAACAACATCAAATGTATCTTTGTATTAAAATAATTCAATTTTTTGTTCCTTTTTTTTTCCTTTGAAGATCCTAAAAGTGTCGAGGATTGTGTGCAAGCTCTGCTCCTAATTAATATCTCTTCTTTAAACCCAATTCAAAAACAGACATGAAATTTAAAATAGATATTTTCTTTCCAACAAAAAAAAAAAAAAAAACGAGAAACGACAAACGATTAACAGAATTTCAAACCTCCTTTCCGCATATCTTCCAGTCCTGCGATATGAAATCCTCCCTAACAAACTTTCGTATGACAATCTCGATCGTGATCTCGTATGTCTGTATCATACGTATAAAGGCCTTGAAGCCGACGGTGGCGGCCAGTATGGTCTCATCCTCGTTGGAAGATTCACTGAGGATTTGGGTGATCAACTCCTCGTGTCCTTCGCGCTCGACCAGCTGCACTAGAGCTGCCTGAGACTCGGGTTTCTTCAGGGAAATAAAGATATTCTGCTCGTACATGTACGTGATCTCGTAGTGAGTGCAGCCATAGCGCAGGAGGAGGCCGATGGTGGCCAGATCTCGGAGGGCTGCCTCGCCCGAGGCACCAAAGGATACGGCCTCAACGGACTCGAGCAGCCACTGGACCTCTTCGTGCTGCGATATCACATGTATATCCTCGATGCTGATGGTCTTTTGGGTGATTTTTGTACGTATCAGCTCGACGGTTTTTTTCAGTTCAATCGTTTTACTGGATGTGTATTTGATTTCTTCTTTGGCAGACTTTTCTTCTTTGATTTCTTGATTTATTTCCTCTTTGATTTCCTCTTTGACTTCTTCCACTTCTTCGATCTCTTCTTCGATTTCTTCTTCGGACTCTTCTATGACTTGACTTCTGCGTATCTCTGCATCTGCAATCTTTCGATCTTTGACCTGCATCACCTCGGAAACCTCACTCTTCTCTACGAGTATAGAGACAGGTTGTTTCACTTTGTAGACATTCATGGTCGTTGTGGCCGCAGGAACTATGCGTATCTCGGTCTTCTGCATCGCAGAAGAAGCACCCGTTCTCTTGACCATTGAGGAGGTCTTCTTGCCGCCAGCCTTCTTCTTGATGACCCTTTTGGTCGCAACGACCTCTTCTTCAACGTTGGATGTGGACGATACCTCGAACTTGGCCCGCGTCATTGTCATGCCGATCTCATTGATGAGCTTGCAACTGTAGTAGCCGCAATCCTCTTGAGTGACTTTCATGATCTCTAACGTTGCCTCGTGCTCCTCCACTACCATGCGATACTTTTCGGAGGCCCTAAGCTGTACATTGTTGAAATACCATTGAATATCTATTGAGAGAGAGTGACTGTCAGCGCCCCTGTGGATCTCTCACTCGCTCTCTGGTCGTCTCATACTATACCTGGCTGCGGATTGCCTGCATATTGTATGCGAAACTTTGCCGTTTCCCCCAGGACACACCGGCTGTCGCGCATTTCGTTTAGTAGCGATGGCGAGCATTTAGCAGCTAAAAAGCGAGACATAAGAGATGGCATATATCTATGGATTAGAGAACTACAGATAGTATCTAAGAAGCAGTGCGATCTATGCAGTGGAATGGCTGAGTGTATCTTTCGGTGCTAGTGTACTTACATTTACTGATTGTTTTTCTGTTAACAGTTTCATGTTTCAATGACTTCAACAATATATAGAACACAAAACACGTGAGTGGCATGCAACAAGATCTACAGAAAAAGTGAAGAGTTCAAGCAGCGTTCTGAAGGGGAATGTTATACGAATTTCTTTGGTTTCAGATAGAACACTTTTTGGGTACATTTTACGGGGTTAGTTTTTTGGTTTTTTTTTTTTTTTTTTTGTATAAATTTTGAATAAAATGGAACAGGAACATGGAACCAATTATACGATGTATAATGTATTACTTGCAGATGAAAGATACACAGATACTACAGATACTGTAATACTGTGCTACTGTAAGAGATACATTTTGGTATATACGAAAAGATAGATTATACTAAAATCAAAACAAAAAAAAATAGGCGTTTACTAATTTTAAAAGTTCAGATGGGGTTTCAGGTGGGTTTCAGGTGGGGGGGGGTTTTAGGGGGACAAGCCTTACAGCTGTAGGAGCCACAGATATCTCTGTGCGAGTGTGTCTGTGTGTGGCAACACTGTACATTGGGACAAATACAATAGATAGAGACAGATATAGAAGACAGACGAGATAGAAGACATTGGACAAGAATATTTGTTGGTGAATTTATTTTTGTTGTTGTTGTTGTTGTTTTTTGTGGTTTTAAGACAAAATTACAGACAAAGGACAGGAATTTGTTGTTGTTTGGTGTGTTTTTGTTTGGATAAACACGAAAGATTAAGAAAACACATATACACATAACAGTGGAACAAAAGAGAGAGAGAGAGAGATAGAGAGAGCGGCTGAAAAAGAGAAGGATACATACCTTTGAGTGCCACCTGCATTTCCTCCATCTGTGTGACCCATTCCGGTTTGCGATAATCCTTGGATCCAACGATGCCTTTGATTTTACATATATATGAGATACAGATACGGTAAAATTATTAAATGTATGCACTCGCACAAATAGATACTTTTCGCCTGCAAGAGATACATTTTATCTTAGACTAAAATCGAGTTGTGTGTTGTGTGTGCCTCAAAAAATGTGTATCTTTTTGGGGGATATTTTTGGGGGAAAAATAACGGGGAGGATTGGGGGTAAGGATTTTTGCTGCTGCCAGAACCTGTAAAAGAATTTTAACTAACAAAATTCCATAAAAATACAGAGCATATACATATGTATTGTATATCCTATAGATAGAATCTCTATAGATAGTACCTTCGACGGAAAACAGAGCCGTTGTCACTGCCACGCCCAATGGATTGTACGCCTCAAAACTAATGGTGCCCCAATCATCGGGATACACATTATTGATCACCAGCACCGATGTGCCGTCGTCGAAATTCTCAATTTGATATTCCTCGGAGGCAAAGATTTGCTCATCGTCGCGCAGCCATTTGACCTTGGGCTTGGGTCGTCCAATGACCTTCACCTCCAGCTTTGGCTGTTCGCCCTCTTTGGGTTCGATTTTCTCAGGTAGTTTTTTAATGATTTTCGGTGCTTGTTCGTCGATTGAGAGGGTCTACAGATACAGATACAGATACAGATATACAGAAAATTTGTTGGGGTCTGAAACGGAGAACACTCTCTCAGTCTGTCGTCGGTTCTTACTCTATCAAGTAGATCCTCCTCAGATCCTGTGAGTCCAGTGATTTCAGAATCGGGGATATATTCAAATGCTAAAAGATACATACAGTCGAAAGAGCATTATCCACAAGGAATTTTCCGAACGCAAAACAGAAACGAGGAAAACGAGGAAACGGGGAAACAAGGAAACAACGAAACGAAGAAACGTGGAAGAATTATTTACAAAAGAAAACGGGAGGCGGTTTCCCAGTTGAGAAAATAGAGAGAGAGAGAGAGAAAAACATCACATGCAGGAGGAGAGGAGAGTGATTATTGGGAGAGGAAAACACCTATAAGTATCTAAGTATCTTTTTTTTTTTTTTGGGGGGGTTTTTGGGGGATGCATTGTAGTGTGTGTGTGTGTGTGCGCGTATCTGTAGAGACAGTGCAGCATCTACTTTCACTACTTTCACTACTTTCTAGTACTAGTACTCTCATCTGGTTATAGAACGAACGCTTAGATGATGATGATGCTCAAAAGTACCTTGAATTTTAACGTTTGTCTTGGTCACTGTCTTGCCAATCTTATTGCTGGCCACGGCCTTGTATTGGCCCTCGTTCTCGGGGAACACTTCGGTAATCTGCAGCTGGCAATTGCCTTGCAAGTCCTGCGATATCGTAGTTTCCTTTGTCTCGGCAATCTTCTCCTCGTTGTGATACCATTCCACCTTGGGTGTGGGCTTGCCCCGCACCCGGCACTGCAGCAGCAACGCCTCACCGTCCATCACCTCGACGGGCTGCGCGAGCTCCTCGGTGAAGCGTGGCGATTCAAATTCCACTGCCTCCTCCTGGGGCAGGGCCTCCAGTAGATTGACAGTCGCCGTGGACGTCACCGAGCCACCCACGTTCTCCGCCCGACAGGTAAAGGGTCCAATGAACTTCCGCTGGAAGTCCTCAATCAACAGAGTGGACTTGTTGGCCTGGCTAACGATGCGGCACTCGTTGGAGCTCTTGATGGGCTCGTTGTGGACGAACCATTGGAAGGAGGACAGCGGCTCCGACTCCACGACAGCCTCCAGGATGGCCACCTCATGCTCCCCAAAGTACTTGGGCTCCAGGGGCTGCACGAAACGTGGCGGCTGGATCTGCTGATCGGGTTTCGAGTCGGACACAACCACCGAACCCGACGACTTGGCCTCCCCGACCTTGTTCTTGGCCCAAACTTCGTATTTGCCCGTTCGCTTGCGCGTCATATTGATCACCGTGATGACGGTGGTCGTCTCCGTGGTCTCCACAATGATCTCCTCGTTCTCCACGATCTCCCGGCCATTGCGCATCCACTTGATCTCCGGTCGGGGCAGACCATCGTACTGGACCTCGAAGCGAAGGGTGCCTCCCGTGGGCACCACGACGGCGTTCAGTGGAGTGACTGTGGGGGGCTTTAGGATCTCCTTGGGCTCCTGCTGCGCCTCATCCAGGCGACTCATGATGTTGGCATTGCCAATGGCACGTCCAAACTGGTTTTGTGCCTGCACCGAGTACGTGATGGCCTCATTCGGCGGCGGGTTAAACACCTCCAGGGCCACATCGCCCGTCTGCTCGTCGTGGAACATTTGGACGGTTTCGCTGGGCAGAACCTCCTCGATGCCGCGATACCATTTGACCTGTGGGTGGGGCTTCCCGGCCACCTGACAGGTCACCGTGACCTTCAGCCTCTCGGGCTGTTTCTCTTCGGTGAACTCGATCTTTAGGGGTTTCGTAAACTGTGGCGCGACGCCTTGTTCTTTTTCTAAATGGGAAGTGGGTTTTCCAAATAATAAATATTTTGTGTGTGTTTGTAGGGGATATCGTTGGGGAGGATTATATACAAAGGGGGCTTGTGGATAGGACCATGGACTGGGGCTGGAATGTAACTAAAGGATGTGCTAAAACTAATGCAAAACTCACCGAGAATAATGTTGGTACGACTTGTGGCCACTCCTGCCTCGTTCTTGGCCTCACACGTGTAGACGCCCACATCGCTGGGCGTGACCTTGGCGATCTTCAGCTGCGCCACCTGCTCCACCACCGTGATCTCGTACTTCTCCGAGGCAAAGAGAAGTATGTCATTGAAGTACCAATTGATTTCGGGAAAGGGCACTCCCTCCACCTTGCACTCCAGCACTGTGGGCTCTTCGGGGACGCATTGGCGGGGTCGCAGCTTCTCTGTGATGCGCGGTGGCTTGATCTCCTTCTTCTTTTTCTTCACGAGCTTCCTCTCCTGTCCGATCACCTCCGAAGTGGTGGTCTCCTGCTGGTTCTGTGTGAGCTGCTGATCCTCGATGAGCTCTTCATCGGCCACGCGATCGATGCCCTCCTGGATGCGCTTCTGTGTGATGAGCTCCAGCTCCGGCAGCGGTTGACTGTCGTCCAGAACGACCCTACGCTTCTCCTTCTTGATGATGTTCGAGGTGACCTTCATCTCGAGATCGCGACGGACATCCTCCACGTCCAGTTCGATCAGCTGTTCCGTGGTGATGAACTGCGGTCGCGTATCTTCAGTCTTTTTCAGCAAGGTGATGGTTTTTTGTGAGATCTCTTGGAACACTTCGTCCACCTTTTCGATTTCCGCAATGGCTGCTTCGAGGAGTTGCGGCTGTCCCTCGACGGAGGCCTGTTTCAGGCGCTTTGTGCGCTTCTTTTGGGCCTTTTGCTTCGCCTCGGCGGGGCTCTCCTCTGAGGGAATGACCTCCTCCTCGGGCAGGACATCCTCAGAGACGGCCACCACTTTGTCATCGTCGACGGGAAGGACCTCGTCGACCTCATCTTCCTCGGCAATGGGCTCGGCAAATGGCTCGGCCATCTCCTCCGAGACCTCATCCACCGAGGGCGTGGCCTTCTTTAGCTTGGGCTTCTTTTTCTTTTCCTTCTTGACCTTGGGGGCAGAGTCCTCGGGCACTTTGAGGGGTTCCAGTTCCAGTTCCTCCTCTTCGCTTTCGGGCTTCTCTTGGGGCACCAGCTGGGGCCCTGGAATGGCCTTTTCTGGCTGCTGTGGCGCCTCCGCTGGCTTCGCGGGGATGGGCTTGAGCTGCACTTCCTCGGGCTGCTCGGCGGGAAGCAGATGCCGCTTGCCCTTGGGCCATTGCTTCTCCTCGAGCACCTCCTCCACGGGCTTCTTCTTTTCGCCTCGCTTCCATGGCACTTGGGGCTGCTCCTCCTCGATCTTGGGCTCCTTCTCGAGGTCCAAGTGCTCCGCTTCCTCCAGCTGGGTGGGCTCTGCATCGGGAATATCCGGCAGATCCTCGTGCTTGGGCTTCTTGACCCTTTTGGTCTTGCGCTTCTCCTCTTGGATGAGCTCTTCCTCGACCTTTTCCACGTGCTGCAGGTCCACTTCTTCGAGTTTCACTTCCTCGGGCTTGATGGACTTCCTGGTGGTGGGCTTGAGACGCACCTCCTCGATGGTGGCCTCCTCCGGCAGCGTTTTCTTTGGTCGCGAGACACGCTTGAGAGCCACTTCTTCCACCTTTTCGATGATTTCCTGCTTCTGTGGCTTCGGTTTTGGTGCTGCCTTTGGTTGTACAGGCTGCTCCTCTTCTGGGATGGGCTGCTGCACCTCTTCCTCTGGCTGTTGCTCCTCTTCCTGGGGCTGCAGTTCCTCTTCCTCGAGCTCTTCCAGAGGTTCCTCTTCCGGCTCTTCTGAGACCTCTTCTGTGGCTGTCTTTGGCTTGGGCTTCTTTTTCTTCACCCGCTTCTTGGTTACATCCACAATTTGCTCCTCGGTGGTGATGACCTCCTCCGTTTCGATCTCCTCTGGTTGTGGTGTCTCTTGCGAGACAACAGCAGTCTTTTTCAATGGCTTCAAGGACACCTCCTCCACTTGTTCCTTTTCGGGAAGAGGCTGTTGCTTCCGGGGCGTCCGCTTCAGCTCCACCTTTTCTACCTGTTCTACCACCTGTTGGGGCTTGGGTTTCACTTTTTTGGGTTCTTCTACTGGAAGAGGTTCTTCAGCGATGGGTTCTTCCACTTCTGGTTCTTCAACCTCTTCTGCGGGTTGTTCTTCTTCGGCTTCTTGTTCTACGGTTACCTTGCTCTTGGGTTTCTTGACCTTTTTCACCTTTTTCTTTTCTTCCACGATCTCTGCTGGCTCTTCTACGACCTCTTCTTCTTCAGGTGCCTCTTCTTCGGGCTGTTCTTCTGTGATCTCGATCGTTTCTTCAGTCTTTTTCGGTTTCTTGACCTTTTTCACCTTACGTTTTTCTTCGACAACTTCTTCTTGGACCTCCAAGATCTCTTCCTGTTCTTCCACGATCTCTTCAGGCTCTTCAACGATCTCTTCAGGCTCTTCCACGATCTCTTCGAGTTCTGCGACAGTCTCTTCTTCGGGAACCTCCTCTTCAGGAACCTCCTCTTCAGTCTTTTCAACAATTTTCTTTGGTTTCTTGATCTTTTTGACCTTTTTCTTTTCTTCTACGATATCCTCCTGCTCTTCCAGGATCTCGACAACCTCTTCGGGGACTTCTTCCTCAGGAATTTCCTCCACAATCTCTTCCTGAACCTCTTCCGTGGCCTTGGGCTTCTTGATCTTCCTGATCTTGCGCCTTTCCTGGACCACTTCCACCTCCTCTTCCACAAGGACCTTCTCGATTTGCGCATCGACCTCATCGGGGTGCTGCTCTTCTTCCACGGGCTCTTCTGGTTCGGGCTTGGGTGCAGCCTTGGGCTTCTTCTTGCCACGCTGCCACAAAACAGGCTGTGGCGTCTCCTCCACGATGGGTTCTTCGGGCAGGACGTCGACAGCCTCTTCGTAGGTCTGGACTGGTGTTTCTTCCAGCTTTTCCTCGACAACTTCTTGGGGCTTGGGCTGGGGCTTCTTTTTCTTGCCGCGCTCCCACAATTGAGGCTGGGGTTGAGGCTGAGCCTTCTGCTCCTCCTCCTCCAGGGTGTCCACTGCCACTTCGAGCGTTTTGGGAGCTGCTTCCTCGACAACTTCCGCCTTTGTGGCTGGCTTTTTCTTGCCACGCTCCCACAGCACAGGCTGCGGTTGCGGCTCTACGGGGACGACCTTTTCCTCCTCTAGAGTGTCGACTGCCACCTCTAGAGTTTTGGGTGCCTCCTGCTCCACTGTCTGTTGAGGCTTCTGCTTCTTGCCGCGTTCCCACAGCACAGGCTGGGGCTGTGCCTCCACTTGGGGCACAGGCTCTTCTTCGAGCAGCTCATCCGTGGCCTCTTCGTAGCCCCTTTGGGCCGGCTGCTGCTCCACCAACTGCTGCACGGGTCTGGTGGTCTTCAGGGGCTTCAACTGGAAGTCCTCCGCCTTCTCCGCTTGTTTGGGGCGGGGTCTGGGCGTTGGCTTCAGCTGTACCTGCTCCACCTTCTGCTCGGGTTCCCGTGGGGGAATCACGCGGCGGACGGCTGTCTTTTTGGTCTCCTCCACGATCTGTTGCTGCTGCAGGACCTGGGTGGTCTGCTGTTCGACCACTTGAGAAGTCTGCTGCTCGATCACTTGAGAGGTCTGTTGCAGCACCTCCTGAGTGGTGGTCACCTGTTCCTGTACGACCTTCTTCTTGCCGCGTTCCCATAGGACTGGCACCGGCTCGGGCTGTTGCTGTTGCACGGGCAGGGGCTCCTGCAGCACGTCATGCAGCTCCTCGTAGGTCTGGGCGGCAGGCTTTTGCTTCTTGCCGCGTTCCCACAGAACGGGCTGCTGCTGTGGCTGGGCCACTGGCAGAGGCTCCTGCAGCACGTCGTGCATTTCCTCGTAGGTCTTTGGCTTCTCCACCAGCTGCTGCTGCTGTTCTTGGACGGGTGCCTGGGGCTGGGGCTGGGCCTGTTCCGGCTTCTTCTTGCCACGATCCCAGAGGACGGGCTGCTGTTGCAGCAACTGCTGCTCCTGGGTATCCTGACGCTCCTGCAAATGCATGAGCGAGGAGTCCTCCACTTGAATGAACTTCTGGGGCTCCCGTGGCTGGCGCCAGTCGAAGGCCTCCTGCTGCGTTCGCTGATTGACGATCTTCTGGTGCTCGTACTGCTCGAGGCTCATCATCTGCGAGTCCTCGATCTGCACGAACTGCTGTCGCTGGGCCTCCTCGATGAGGCTCTGCTGCTGGACCAGTCTCTGGCGATCGCTCGCCTGCGAAATGGTGTCCTCCACGGAGGTGAGGGGCTGCAGCTGGGGCCGCTGCTGTTGCTGCTGCCGCCAGTTGACGGCCTGCTGCTCGCGGATCAGACGCTGGGCCTCCAGCTTCTCCCGCTCGGAGACGTGCATGATGTTGACGTCTTCGGTGGTGATGAAGTGCTGCTTGTAGATGCCCGACTGGTCCTCCTCGTACCGCTGGAGGTCCTCGCGCTGGACCATCTTCGAGATGGAGCCCTTGGAGCTCTCATCGATGGTGAGGAGAACCTCCTCAGCGATGGCCTGCTGTGCCTGCAAGTGCTTCAGTTCCACTTCCTCGATCTTGAACTTGTCGATCTGCTTGGTCACACGCTGCACGCTCTTCAGCTGCTGCCGCATCTCCTTCCAGGGTATGAGGTCCTTGTTGTTCTGCTGCTGGGTGATCAGCTTGTCGATCTGATCCGTCATCTCCATAATCTCCACGCTCTCCATGCTCTTCAGCCGCTGGATCTCCTTGGTGCGCTGCTCCTGTGCCACCTGCGCCTGCTGCGGCAGTGGCTCCTCCGTCTCGATGGCTCCTTCGAGGGGACGCAGATAGACCTCGTCGATGTCGAACTTGTTCAGCTGCTCCGACACGCTCTCCACTTGCTTGAGCTTCTCGCGCATCGTGATCCAGGGCACCGCCTCCTTTTCTGTCTTGCCGGCAATGATCTGCTCCAGAGTGGCGCCCAGACTCATGATGCCCCGATCCCGCTCTGTTTTGATCGACTTGAGGACCACTGTGGCCGCCTCCAGCTTCGGAGTGGGCTTCTTCTTTTCAATGGGTGTGGCCTTCAGGCTGATGGTCTCCTCAGTCCAGGACTTGACAGGCTCCGGCTTGAAGCCTGGCAGGAAAACGCCCTTGTCCAGCGAACGTCCACGATTCGGACGCGAGGACTTGCGCCAGGGTATCACCTTTGTGGCAGGCTGCAGGGACTTGCTCCTCACCTTCGGCTTCTTTGTGCGCGACCTTCCCTCATGACCATTGACCCCCAGATACTGGCCAAACTGCTGCTGTTGCTGGCCTCCCGGCTGCAGCTGTTGTCCTGGCTGCAGGGGCGAGTCGGGTGCATCCTCCCGGCCGGAGGATGAGGACTCATCTTCGGCGGAATCAATTGTGCGCAATTGAAAGGCCGAGATTCGTCGTTCTAAACGAAGCGTGGAAAGGGGATCTTTAATAAAAGGAATCTCTCCATAAGGACAACCAGAGTTCGAGACCAAAACGAGCGGCGGGCCCACTTTCTCCCACTTACCTTCGACTACACAGAAATAATCAAATATATATATGTATAAATAAATCAAAATCATATGCAAAACAATGAACTTGAAACACGCATAAATAGTATATATATATTTTTAGTGGATTTACAGACAGAGGAGCAGGGCAGAGCAGATGAAACCGAAAACCAGGCAGTGGGTGGGGCCCACTCGCCCACTCCTCCGCAGCCTCTGATTCGATGACCCTGAATATAAGTCCATAATACACTCAGAGAAGAAAGCCCTGAGAATCGATTCGATTTAAGAATTTTGCACAGAAAAAAACAAAGTATTTTCCATTAAATTTTACGATTATAATGGAAGTATTTTATCTGAATATATTTCATATTTAAAAAAATATTTCCCCACAAATTTATTTATTTTAAAGTGTTTTATATTTATTAAAAATTTGGCATATATTTATGTTTCAATCAAAGTGAATTTTTCTTTAACTGAGGGTGTATGTGGGATTGTGGGCCTAGAGGGACCTCTAGGTCATGTCTAAGTCTCTTCAGAATACATATTTTAGCTAATTGGCATTGATAAAAATAGTATGAAACAGTCAGTCACATAGTCACATAGTCACAGTCTCTTCGTTTGAGAGGTGACATTATGGTTTATCTATGGGTCCTATGATTCATTAATCGGGCATGACGGAGCAGCAGCGGTCCTAAACGTGGACGTACAATGATTAAAATTGCATTAGCCTGCACCTAAATCCTATATCTGTCTCTGTGGCACATTGTCGTGACAAAACGAATTGCCTCTGCGAGTCATCATCATTACGACGATCATTAAATGGCTGCCATATGGATGTGGCCTCTGTGTGGCAAGTACAATTGAGAGCAAACAATTCGGAATGTGTTGTTGCCTCCAAAAATAGATATCTGATTAGTGGCGGCTACGTCACCAGGTGGGGCTCTGGCTGCCTCTATAGAGCGGCCATAGACAGATTTATGGGCGGGGTGTGTCTGCCTGTTGCTGCCTGCGCGGTATTTTCAGAGCGAGCGCAGCAGCAGTAGCAGCAGCAGCAGCAGCAGCAGCAGCGCACTGCACAGATCCATACGAGATCTCGATTCTCATTCCGTTTTAGACAACAAACGGGCAATGTTCTGACCGACAAAATGGAGCAGAGTGTCTCCTCTGCGAAAAAAAAAAAACCAATTACCTGTGCGATTTTTACCTGTGTTTTCATTCGGATGATTGGCTGATTGATGGCAGGCATGCAACAGCGGTGGCAACAGCAACAGTAGCAACGGTAGCATTGTGGCAGTGTGGCAGTGTGTGTGTGGCAGTGGTGGCAGGGAGCAGGAGTTATCAAAAACAAAGTTTTTCTTTCAAATTAATGCATTTTGCTTGAATTTATTTATAGACGCGATCGGTTTTGGTTTTTAAGTATTAAATACATGATAAAAAATACAATTAAAAAACAAAAAAATAATGTGGATAGTGGACAGTGGATAGATAGTACTGTGTGTCTATCGGTATCGGTAAATCGAGAGTAATCGATAAATGATAAACATAAATAAAACAATTACAAATCGGAAATCGTATCGGTACTTAAAAACAAAAAGAGTCGCATGAGTTTTTATGATTAATTTTTTAGTAAAGCTCACAAGCGGCAAATAATCATCGATTTTCTCTCTCTATTTTGGACACATTTTTGGAATTCATTTACAACAAATGATTGATGATTGAGAGTGTGTGATTGACAGAACAAGATGGAAAACAAAATTAGTAAAGAAAACAGTAGAAGCGGTAATAAAAAATGAATTATAAAATCTCATGCAACATCACTACAAAAATAAATAAATTTTAAATTAAAATATAAACAATACATAAATCATTATCATCATTATCATCATCAACATTCGATGTGAGGATACACACGGATATAAACATATTTGAAAGGACTGTCTGGGGATACACGTTCGTAGGAGGATCGTACGTTTGGGTTTTTAATTTGGTAAGAGTCTTGATCGTGAAGAGTCCTATCTGAAAGCGCATCTTGAACCGTGCTAACGTGAGATTTCTTTTGCAGCATCGAACGGGGCAGTAGCATCATTCCTTGGAAGCAAGAAAACATCTTTGGGCCTGGCAGCTAAATATATCTGAGGGAAAACTACATGGGGGCAAGACATGATTCACGTCTGAAGCTAAAGGTCCCGCCGTGGCTCGATGAGTGAACAGCCGTAACTGATTAATCTAATTAAATTCATTTCTGCACCATAAACAGAATCATCAATTCATGTTCTTGTCTAATGAGTAAATGGCCAACTGCTGCTGTTGGCCAACATCTTTCTTGGCTATAAGAGTTCTTCTCGACACACACAACCCCCCGGGGATCGCTTTTAGGTAATTTATTTAATTATTTTCTGTATTTTCTCCCACCCCGCAGAACTATAGAAATTTCTTTCGTTTTTTCTTTGGGTTTTTTTTGTTTTTTATTGAAAATAAATTTCAAGATTTACTTGAAGCGAAAAGCGGAAAATACATAAAATGTTTTTCATTTGTTTGCCTGAACGAAAGAACACCAGATATCCAGACAGCGGCTGGACCCAAAAATAGACCTCCGCCGAACCGAACAGCACGGATTTTTTTAACGCTAATCTATTGGAAATTAGTTTTCTCGAAAGCACAAAGCAAAACATTCTCCAAAAACAAAATTCAAAATAGAACAAATTGAGGGAGAAAAGCGTACATATAGAAGAATATCTATAGGGAAAATTTTCAGAGGGAAAAATAGAGATTCATTCGAATGGCAGATGAAAAGCCCATGGCTGAATGGCTTTCGATATTTTTGTGTTCTAGTTTTTTGGCTAGAGATCGCTCGCTGTTGCTGTGTGTGTGTGTGTGTGTATCTGGCAGATACAAGACACCAGAAACAGAACACAAAACGAGCAGAACAGAACAGAACCAGCAAGAGCAGTGCAGTGTGTGCGCTAGATGTGTCATCCATAATATTTTATGCTAATATTCACATGAAAATATAACAACTTTCACGCTCGAGCGGAGGCGGTCGAAATGTGCGTTTTGTTTGCACACGGCCCCAAAAAACTACACTCTGCACACGACTGATGATTGTCGGGACTATATATAGTATAGTATCTTTGGGATACTGTACAAAATATTATATACACGACCGAGTATTCCTAAAGTGGCCTGCCTGCCTGCTCGCCTGCCTGCCTGCCTTCTGCCCAAACTCGTACGTGGTACGGCGGCACCTATGTGGTGTTCTGGTCTGCCGTTCGGACATAATTCGTTGAAAGTATTGTGGCTGTACATAAGCTGGCTGCCTTATTTATAAATCGACTCATCGGGGGGCCTAGAGGTCTATCTATCTGTACCTCAACATTCTTTGAGTCATTTTCAATTTCACTCATTGTCGCTGGCTACAGAATTTTCAATTTGAAATTTTCAATTTTCAATTTGAAATTTGTGGGTTGCTTTTCTGCTGCTGCCAGAACGATGCTTCTTGAATAAATGTTCTATAAATATTTATGGGTTTTGCAAAATACTTGTAATTATTTTTATTATTTTTTCAATTAAAATTTTTCTTTTCTTGCGTTTTTTTTTTTTTGTTTTGTTCTTTGGTTAATTGTTTTTGTTCCTGTTAAACATTATATATATTTGTTGTTGTTTTTGTGGTTTTCACATTTTGCAAAAATTGTTAGTAAAAAAAAAACTCGTTCGTTCGGAAAAAAGTTTAGAAAAAAGTTTTAGAAGAGAATCTCCTTGAGTTGGGGAAATCTTCCAGAGGTTCTTCGCTTTCAAATATTCTTCACTCTCAAACTTTTACGACTAGTAGTTGATCAATATCGATAGGTTTCGATAAATCGATAGTTTTTAGGTAGTAGGATCGTACGAGTAGTAATTGTTGGTTATTTTGTATGTATGTACGTTCGTAGCTTTTTTGGGGATTCGTTGCGTCAGTTATTCGTTTCAGTATTTTTCAGTATTCTGTACTTGAAGTATTCTCAGCTCTGAAACTATTTTTCAGTATTTTCTAGTATTTTTTCAGTATTGTTTTGAGCATTCTTTGGAGTTGATTTTTTTTTCTGTTGGTTGTTGATGGTTTTTTTTTTGTTTTGTTTTTGTTTTTGTTGAACACGGTTCGCTTACGTTTGGTTTTGTGTTTGCTTGGTATTTTTGTCGAACTCTGGTTTCGGTTTTGGCTTAGTTTTTATGTTTAATCCTTACTTTTAACAGTCAGTTTGGCTGAGGACTCGACCTGGCCGGTGGACGAGGTCACACGTACTGTAAAGATGCCCGAATCCTCCTCGTAGGTGGTTCCAATCAAAAGCACAGCGCTGTTGCCATCAAAGATCATCTGAAATTAACGCGAATACATATATATAGATATGTGTGTACATTGGATGGGTATATTTTTCAAGATTAAAACATTCCGAGCGCTAGAAACATGAAATATCTGCCATCTTTGAGTGTAAAACCCACCTGGAAATCTGGGGTCTCAGGGATCAGCTGTCCCTCGCGGAACCACTGAACACTGGTGGCCTTCACCTTGCCCGTCACCGTCGTCTTGAACTGGGCGGGCATGCCCTCCGTGACGGAGACATCCTTCAGGGCCGTGATGGTGGGTGGGGCGTCCAAATTCTCGATGGGACGCACCTTCAGCTGGGCGCTGGTCTGGATGCTGCCCAGCTTGTTCTCGGCCACACACTTGTAGGTGCCCTCGTCCTCGGGGAAGGCCTCCGAGATGATCAACTGGTAGTACTCGCCCTGGCGCGACATTTGGAAGTAGCGCGACGGCTTCACAAAGTTCTCGCCTCGCATCCAGCGGGCCGTGGGCGTGGGCTTGCCGTCCACGCGGCAGCGGAAGATCACCTTGCTGCCCTCCTCGACCGACTGGCTCTTCAGCTGCTCCACAATGTGGGGGGCCTTCTCGCTGCCGGGTGTTGTGGGTTTCTCCGGCTTTGTGGGCGACTGGACAACGCAATCGCCATCGCAGCGCGCCTCTCCAGCGGAATTGACGGCCACACACTCGTAGCGGCCGGAGTCCTCGGCGAAGGGTTCGATGATCAGCAGGGTGTGGATGCTGTCCTCCTCGAGCATCTTGAATTTGATGCTCGGATGGATCTTCATGCCGTTCTTCAGCCAGTAGACATCCATGGGCTTGGTGCCGGTGACCTTCGCATCGAAGCGTGCCAGCTGTCCGGTGGCCACGGTGGTGCTCTGAATGGTGTTCACAAAGCTCGGGGGCTGGATGCCTCCCTTGCCTGCACGACGACGCTCCTCCACCACGAGATTGGCACTGCACTTGGCGGTGCCTCCGCGATTCTCGGCCACGCACGAAAAGACGGCCGAATCCTCGACAAACACCTGGCGGATGATCAGAATCGACTTGCCGCTGAACGTGTGGATCTGCAGATCGGGCGAGTTCTGGATGGGGAAGCTCTCGCGGTACCATTTCACCGTCGGATTGGGCTCCCCGTCGAACTCCACCTCGAATTTGGCCTGTTCGTTCTCAAATACGCGGCAGGGCTGGATCTTCTTGGTGAAGACGGGGGCCTTGGCGGGCTTCACGGGTCCCTTGACGACACGCTCCTGGATGGTGCCCTTGTGCTCCACTTCGGTGGTCTCGGTGGCAGTGATCTTGCGGGTGATCTCCAGATCACCTTGAATCTCCTTCTGCACTTGCTGTTGCTTGTTCATGTGCACCTCGCGGCCATGCACCGACGATTCCGAGGGCTCAGCGGTGCCCTTTGGCGGCGCAGGCTTGACTTGAGTGGTGCTCGTCTGCTCTTGACTGAAATTCGGGGTAAGCAACGGTCTACTTGGGGGTTTTCTTGAAGGTTTTTCCCACAGATACTTACAGATTCTCTTCGTACGAGTGGGCCATGCCCTTGGCCGCGGAGCTGCTGACAACCTTCTCGCCGGGAATGGCATACTGATGATTGTCCCTCCTCAGATTGGTTTCCTTGAGGAGCTGCTCCACCTCGAGGCTCTGCAGCTTGTTGTAGTACTCCTCGCTCTTCTTGGCCTTCACATTCTGCTGCCAGTCGGGTGTCTGGGGCTTGTACTGCTTCGGCTTCAGATGCTCCACGCCCTTGAGCGTGTGCGCACTCTGCTCGGACAAATATTGCTTACGTTCATCGAATACCTTTTCCAGCTCGTTGTCCTGGCGTTCCTTCTGATAGGCGGCTAGCTCGTAATCGTACCAGGCTGTACATTCGAAAGGGGAGCAAATTTCGGGGATCAATTCGGGGGTCACACACATAAAGGAAGAGCGGGCAAAGCAAAAGGTTGTTTAGACACAACATCATGCTTGTACAGGGATGATACTAGTTAGTCTTTATAGTAGCAAGTATTATAGAACACATAGATCATAGATGGGGCATTTTATGCCAAGGAACGGATTCTTTGATTGGAGAAACCAAGCAAATCTCTTGCTCCATCATAGCGGGACCTTATTTACGCATTTAAACCCCTTCTATGCTTTCCAGTCAGGAATATACTTGTGCACACTCCACATTCTCTTCGTTAAAACATCATCTATGTGGTTCTATAATCTTTGATAAAACACTTCATGCCTTAGATCTAAACATTTTAGTCACTTGGAAATCGATTTAGTACAAAGAATATATGATTATTGGATTAGTTTTTTTTTTTTTGGAGGTCTACTAGATCCTTTTTGATGAATAAGGACAGACAGAGGGATAGAGAGATAGAGAGAGAGAGACAGAGAGAGGAATAGATACAGAGATTGAATGACAAGCGGATGATGACCACAGATTTAAGAACAGACGGATAAATTGCACACACACGAAGAAGAAAAACTATCATAACCACACCATATTACCCATTGGTCCAAATGGCAATACTTAGATCGAGAGATACAGAGAGAGACAGATATTGAGAGTCCATTCTGGGTCCTCTGGGGCGGGCTTCTTCCTTCGAAAAGCGCTCTCCTACAATAGGATCCGATCGATCTCTTGGGAGTGGAGGGAATTATAGGGGTGGCGGGATTTTTCAGGAATTTTTGAGGGATTTTTTCGGGTATCTTTTTGTGGATTGTTTCTCTAAATTGTATTTCTACTTTCAAACGTGGGTGCAGCTACGGGTATCTATGTATCTTTTGTGGCATGTTGTAATGTATAATATTTACAAATGAGTTTTTCATGTGAGAGTTTTTTTACGAGTATGTGTGTGTGGTTTTTTCTACTGCATTTTCTTTTGTAAAATTTGTTAAGTTCTAGATAGCTTTTACCATAAATTGTAGTGGATTAAAGTGTGTCAGAGTCATGGACTTACGGCGTGGGGAGTTCTTTAGGACATTGCGATAGTCATCGGAGCGTGAGACGACCTTCAGTTCGGTTTGGGTGATGGATTCACCCACAGAATTGCGGGCAATGACCTCCACTTTGCCAGTGTCGTATTGGCGGGTCTTCGGGATATCCAAATGGAACATGCCATCGTTGGTGAGCTTATAGCGAGAGCCCTACACGGAATAAAGAGGGTTCCATTGAGCAAACAGATCTATCGAGAACGATTCTCATACGTACATGCACCACGGTGTGGCCATTGACCAACCACATGACCCTGGGACGTGGATGTCCAGTGACACGGACACAGAATCGGGCGGGTTCGCCCTCCTCCACCGTCTGGGGTTCGATTTTGCTGACAAAGACAGGCTTAGATCGGGGCTTGGCATCGGGATCGGCCTCCTCGGGGACACTAAACGGAGGATATATTTGATTAGAGTTCATTCCTGTAGAGAGGATATCCCTGGGGAACACTTACACCTGCCATGAGGCCTCCATTTCTCGTATGCGATCAATGCTCTGCATATGAGCAGGCAGCTGCGAATCATAGACAATGCCTGGCTTTCCAGAGACCTTGATGAAGGCTCGGGTCTCGTCCTTGCCATACAAATTGGTGGCACGGCAGACGTACTCTCCCGAATCCTCGGGATAGACCCAGCCAAAGTTCATGGCCACATAACCGAAATCGTAGATGGGCTGGAAGCGGTTCTCTACAGAGAGAGAGGGGATATCCTTTTAGCATACGTTTCAGGGGTGGGAGCTTTGAGTACTTACTGTACAGCAGAGGCTTGCCATTGAAGAACCATTCAACCTTCATGTTGGGATCACCCACTGGCGCCAATTGGCATTCGAACTTCGTGACGGCCATCTCCGTGAGCGTCAGCTGTTCCTTGATTTGGGTCACAAATCTCGGCGGCTGCTTGCGGTCCGGATCGAACAGATCGTCTTCTGTGAGATGCACTTCCGAGGTGTACTTCTTGATGGTGGCCTCCATTTGGGTGAGGGCATCAGAGCGTTTCATGCCGCGGGGCACTTGGTTCTGCAACAAAATGGTAGGCAGTTCTAAAGGAAAGAAAAAGAAGAAACAAAAATTAGATTGAAGAAAAGAAAAAAAATGCAAGAAAGTGTGGGGGAAACTCACTTTTGCAGGAGACTGTGGCTCTAGTGCGGTCCTCGCCATGATTGTTGATGGCACGGCACACGTACTCCCCAGAATCCTCGCCATAGACGTACAGGATGTCCAGAGAGACGAAGCCCATGTCAAAGATATTCCTATAGCGATGGCCCGAGGGCAGGGGCTTGCCGTTGCGATACCATTCGACGCGCAGGCTGGGATCCGTTTTGGGTTCCACCTGGCACTCGAAGCGCACGGCCTCGGCCTCCTCGACGGTGACGTTGGTGATCTGTGTCACGAACTGTGGTGGTCCGTACTCCTGTTCGACGATCTTGGGTGCCTCGGGTATGCGTCCGCGCTCGAGTTCTTTGAGCTTATCGGAGGTCATGCCCTCGGGCAGCTGCGACTCGTAGACAATGTTGTGCTTGCCCTTGCACGTGACCTTGGCGGTGGTGGTGGCAGTGCCCCACTTGTTGGTGGCACGACACGTGTACTCCCCGGAGTCGCGGGCATAGATGTAGTCCACATCCAGAGCAATAAAGCCGAAATCATTCAACTGATGGACCCTCGAGCCAGTGGCCATCACGCGGCCATTGTAGAACCATTCGATGCGCATCGAGGGATCGCCGACGGGCTCCACGCGGCAGTCGAAGTGAATGGGACCGCCCTCGGGGACATCCAGGTTGTCCTTGATGTCCTCGGTGAACTTCGGGGGATTGGGCTGCTCCTCATCGATGATGATCTCCTCCCGCTTGTGCATGCTCTCCTCCAGCTTCTGGAGGCTCTCGGTGCCAGTGCGGAAGTTCGAGGGCAGCTGCGGCTCCATGACGATGCCCTGACGGCCCTTGACCTGCAGCTTGCAGGAGACCGTGGCCTCGCCGTGCTTGTTGGTGGCCTTGCACGTGTACAGCCCAGTGTCCCGCTGATAGCATCCCGCAATCTCGAGGATCACGAAGCCAAAGTCATTGATCGTCTTGATGCGAGAGCCGGCCCACAAGGCCTTGCCATTGTGGAACCAGTCCACGCGCATCGAGGGGTCGTTGATCGGCTGCAGACGGCACTCAAAGTGCGCCAGAGAGTTCTCCGTGATGACCATGTCGAAGGGTGTCGTGATGAACTCTGGCGGCTTGCCAGTGTCGTCGTCGGGCACAAACTCTGTGCTGCGCGAGCCCAAGCCTTCGAGCTCTGCGATGCGATCGATCGTGCCCTCCATGCCCTTCGGCAGCTGCGATTCCATGATGATGGATCGCTTGCCCTGGATTTTCATGGTGGAGGTGGTCACGGCCTCGCCGTACTCGTTGATGGCGCGGCACGAGTACTCCCCAGAGTCCTCGGGATACACGGGAGAAATCTCGAGGATAACAAAGCCAAAGTCGCAGAAAGTGCGGAAGCGAGAGCCCGCCTTGAGGGGACGTCCATTCCAGAACCATTCGACCTTTAGCTTGGGGTCGTCCGCGGGCGTTATCCTGGCCTCAAAGTGTGCATTCTCGCCCTCCCGCATGTTGTCGATGTTCTCGAGGGGCACCGTGAAGACGGGAGCCTTGCCCTTGGTCTCCTCGGTGGTGGTGTCGTCGCGTGTGCGGACCATGCTGTACTCCAGATTGGCGATCTTCTCAAGGCCGCCCTCCATGCCGCGCGGCAGCTGGGAGTCCAAAATGAGGCTGGCCTTTGAGGTGCACTTGAGGGAGGCTCGCGTGGAGTCCTCTCCGTATTTGTTGACCGCCCGACACTCGTACACGCCAGAGTTCTCTTCGTAGCAGTACAGGATGTCCAGGATAACGATGCCAAAGTCGTGGAAAGTGCGGAACCGATGGCCATGTGGCAGTTTCTTGCCGTTGAAGTACCATTCCACCACCAGATCGGGATCGGTGATGGGCGTGAGACGGGCCTCAAAGTGGGCGCTCTGTCCCTCGACCAATTTGGTGACATCCGCGATTTGGGTGATGAATTTCGGTGGCTCTGCCACCGCGGGGGCACTGGTGTCGCCCTGCGGGCCCTGGGGGCACTCCAGCTCGCGGATACGCTGCAAGGAGTCAGGCTGCAGGCTGTCGTAGAAGACGCCGCCGCGTCCGCCGCAGTTGAGAGTCGTGCGGGTAAAGTCCTCGCCGTATTTGTTCCAGGCACGGCACACATACTCGCCGGAATCGTGGTCCTGCAGGTAGGCAATGTCCAGGACAACGTAGCCGAAGTCGGAGACGGTCTTGATGCGATTCGAGTGGCGCAACAGGGTGCCGTTGTGGTACCATTCGACCTTCAGCTCCGGATCGTTGACCGGAATCAGCGTGCACTCGAAGTGCGCCGCCTGGCCGTCCTTCAGGCCCTCCAGTGGCTGGATGTGGGAGGTGAAATGTGGCTTCTGGCCACGTGGCTTGTCCACGCACTCCAGCGTGCAGCTGATTTCGGCAGTGCCATGTTTATTGGTGGCACGGCACGTGTAGGTGCCAGTGTCCTCGATCTTGGTGCCGAGGACCTCCAGGGCCACCGTTCCGAACGCATAGATGGTGCGCACGCGGTGGCTGGCCTCCAGGACCTTGCCATTGTAGAACCACTCGATGATCATGCTCTGATCCCCGACAGGAATCAGATTTGCCTCGAAATGGGCCAGCTCTCCTTCCCCAATGTCCGCAATGTTCACGAACTCCGTGGTGAAGCGCGGCGCAATGCCCAGATCGGGCTGCTCCGGCTTCGAGCCGTCCTTGCGCAGTGAATCCTCCAGGTCCTGGATCTGCTCGAGACCCTCCGCGCCCTTCGGGTGCTGCGTGGACTCAATGATGCTCTCCTTCGTGGAGCAGAAGATGGTCGTGGAGGTGAAGGCCTCGCCGGCCTTGTTGTACGCCTTGCACGTGTAGATGCCCTGATCGCGGGCATACACCTCGATCATGTCCATCGTGACGAACCCAAACTCCGTGGTCATCTTGAACCGGGAGCCATGCTGCAGCATCTTGCCGTTGAAGTACCACTCGATGAATAGATTGGGGTCCTCCTTGGGCTCCACATTGGCCTCCAGATGGATGGGCTGCGCCTCCGACAGATGGAACTCCGCCTGCAGAGGCTTTGTCCACACGGGCGGTGGGTACTGGGTCTCGGGCTTGGTCGATTTCTGGGCATAGCGATTGGCCAAGGCCTCTTCTGTCTCCTGGACGGCCTCCAGACCGCTCTCTCCCTGGGGATGCTGCGTGTCCAGGAACATGGTCTTGCCCCCGGTGCACTTGAGCGTGCCCGATGTGGTGGCCGATCCCCGGCTATTGGTGGCCTTGCACGTGTAGATGCCACTGTTCTCCGCATACGAGTTATTCAGATCCAAAGCGCAGTAGCCAAAATCGTAGATGGACTTGAATTTGGCCGCCGCCTGCAGCGGCTGTCCATTGTAGAACCACTCGATCTGCATGGTGGGATCCCGAGCGGGCTCCACGTTGCACTCGAAGCGCACATTGTCCGACTCCTTGCACTCGATGTTGTTCAGGTGCGTGATGAACACCGGGGTCTCGTACGTGGGCTCTGGGGCGGCAGGACGATCCGCCTTGGGCGCCTCCAATGCCCCAATGCGTGGCAGGGCATCGGGATGCAGGGAATCCGCCTGCAGCCAGTGACGGTCCTCGATCTTCAGAGAGGACGTGGACACGGCCTCCCCGATCTGGTTGGTGGCCTTGCAGGTATAGATGGCACTGTCGTCCTCCCTCAATCCGTTGATGGAGAGCGTCACCAGGCCAAAGTCGAAGGTGCTGCGTATCCTCGAGCCAGTGGTCAGGGAGATGCCGTTCTTGAACCACTCGATGCGCAGATTGGGATCTGCTCGGGGCTCTACTTGGGCCTCCAGCAGGACATGCTGTCCCTCGTGCAACTTGTCGTACGATTGCAGATGTGTCGTGAAGACAGGCGCCTGCTGAGGCGTGGAGTCCACAAACATCTCCGGGACGCGGTTCATGGCGGCCTCCTTCAGACGGATGGCCTCCCACGATTCAGGGATCAAGGGCTGGCCGTCGATGTTCGACTTGGTCTTGACCTTCATGGCCGTAGAGGAGACAGCCTCGCCGGCGGCGTTGTAGGCGCGGCACATGTAAACACCGGCATCCTCCGGCACCACTGCGGCAATGTCGAGGGTCACGAAGCCAAAGTCGTGGGTGGTGCGCAGGCGGGAGCCCATTTGCAGCTCCACGCCGTTGATGAACCACTCGAACCGGAGAGAAGGATCTCCCACGGGAACGACCCTCGCCTCGAAGTGCGCATGGGCGCCCTCCCACACCTCCGATGGTCCCGTGAGCAGCTGCGTGAAGATGGGCTTCTCGAAGAGACGCTCGGGCTCTGTGGGACGTGGCGCCAACGGTTTCTCCAGCTGATGGATGCGACTAATGCTGTCCGGGTGTTGGGTGTCCATCAGGATGCTGGCCTCGGACACAATCCGCATGGAGGCGGTGGTGACGGCCTCCCCGAGCGGATTGACGGCACGGCACATGTACACGCCCTCGTCCTCCTTCCGGATGTGCGAAATGTCCAGAGAAACGAATCCAAAGTCGGCTTGCTTGGTGATGCGAGAGCTGTCCTCGATGATCTTCTCGTTGCGGTACCATTCGACCTTCAGATTGGGATCCCCCACGGGGATCAGGCGCGCCTCAAAGTGCGCCGTCTGGTGCTCATTGATCCGATCGATGTTCTGCAGCGGCTGCGTGAACACCGGACGCTGGCGAGTGCCGGGTGTCTCCACCTCCTGGCGCTGATGCGGCGCCGCGGACTCGAGCTTGCGGATCTTCTCCAGACCCTCCGGGTGCTGCGTGTCCGAGATGATGGTGCCGCGGGCAATCACCCGCAAATTGGTTGCCGACACCGCCTGTCCCATGGCATTGACGGCCCGCACGGAATACTCCCCGGCGTCCTCGGCGACGGCATGGGTGATGTCCAGCGACACGTAGCCAAAGTCGAAGGTGATGTGGAAGCGGGCCGCCGATGGCAGGGGCTTTCCGTTGTGGTAGAACTCGATGCGAAGGTTGGGATCGTGCACCGGTGCCACCTGGGCCTCAAAGTGCGCCGTCTGTCCCTCGTAGATCTCCGTGGAGCCGCGCAACTCCGCCGTAAAGTGCGGCGGACTGATGGGATGATCGCCGACCTCAGTGCGGGCATTCACGACCTTCGATTCCAGCTTCTGGATCTTCTCCAGGGCATCAGGGTGTTGGGTGTCCAAGATCATGCTGCGGCGGTTCAACACCCGCACATTGCAGGTGTTCACCGCCTCGCCCAACAGATTGGTGGCCTTGCACATGTACGTGCCGGTGTCCTCGCCATACACATAGAGGATGTCCAGTGCCACGTAGCCAAAGTCGTGGGTGGTGCGGAAACGATGGCCCATCGGCAGTTGCTTGCCGTTGCAGAACCACTCGATCTTCAGATTCGGATCGTTGATGGGCTCCACGCGGCACTCGAGATGGGCGTGTTCGCCCTCCTTCAGGTGCTCCAGGTTGCTCAGGGGCGTTAGGAAAATGGGCTTGGAGCCCTTCTCCTCAACCACGGGCTTTGTGGGTGGGGCATAGCTCTCCAGTTGGCGGATCTTCTCCAGTCTTTCAGCATCCATAGTGTCCAGATCGAGGGTTTTGTTTGCTGTAAGAAAAGGACCAGAGATTATAGTGGGTGGGCCCTTCTAGGGAGGCTTGGGATATCCGTACCTGTTACGTTTACAGCACATGTCGTCACTGCCTCTCCAATGGCATTCTTGGCCTTGCACATGTACGTGCCAGTGTCCTCGGCATGCGCATACAGGATGTCCAGGGCCACGAAACCAAAGTCGTAGGTGGTCTTGAAGCGATGTCCTGTCTGGATGGGTGTGCCATTGCAGTACCACTCGACCTTCATTGTGGGATCGTTGACGGGTATCAGTGTGGCCTCCAGGTGCACTGGCGTGCCCTCGTTGACCTTGGCGTTGCGCAGAGAGCGCCCGAACTGCGGTCGCTCTGCATGGAACTGCTCTTCGTCCGCCTTTCGCTGGAACCGTGAGGCGTCCTCCAGATGGGCAATCTTCGACAGAGCGTCCTCGTGCTGCGTCTCATGGATGATCGAGGAGCGGGAGGTGACATTCAGGACGATCGAATTGACCGCCTCGCCCAGATTATTGGTCACACGGCAGGTGTACTCGCCGGAGTCTTCCGCATAGACCGTGAGGATGTCCAAGGCGGCAAAGCCGAAATCGTAGGTGGTGCGGAAACGATGGCCCGTGCTCAGGGGCTTCCCGTTGTGGAACCACTCGACCTTGAGATTGGGATCCGGATACGGTTCAATGCGGCACTCGTAGTGGGCCGACTGTCCCTCCTTCAGGTTCGTGGGGCCAATGAGCTTCGTGACAAACACCGGGGCCGTCGTGACCGTATACTCCTCCTCCTCGCGTCGCTGGTAGCGGCTGTGGTCCTCCAGTTGATGGATCTTGTGCATGGCTGCCTCGTGTTGGGTCTCCAGCTGAATGGCCGTCTTCGATTGGACAATCAGCGAGGCAGAGGTCACCGCCTGACCCAGCTCGTTGATGGCACGGCAGCTGTAGCTGCCTGAATCCTCGGGATTCACGTACTTCATGTTCAGCGCCACATAGCCAAAGTCATGCATTGTGGTGGTGCGGTTGGAGGCCTCGATGGGCTGGCCGTTGCGCAGCCACTCGACCTTCAGGTTGGGATCGCCCACCGGGATCAAACGCGCCTCAAAGTGCACGGCCTGGTTCTCGGCGACACGAACATCCCGCACGGGCATCGTGAAGACCGGAGCCTGGGAGACAAACTCATCCTGGACGCTGATCCGCTGGCGCTTGGAGCCATCCTCCAGGTGCTGTAGACGCGGCAGAGCCGTCTCGTGCTGCGATTCCAGGTAAATCGATTTCTTCGTGTGCACCACAGCCACCGCGGAGGTGATGGCCTCGCCAACGGCGTTGAAGGCGCGACAGGTGTAGGTGCCGGCGTCCTCTGGCAGAGTGGACATGATATCGAGAGCCACAAAGCCAAAGTTGGAGGTTTCCGTGAAGCGAGAGCCCGACTTGAGGGGCAGATTGTTGTGGTACCATTCCACGCGCATCGATGGATCCGAAACGGGGATCAGGCGGCACTCAAAGTGCGCACGCTGGTTCTCCTTGATCTCGATGTTCTTCAGGGATGTGGTGAAGACGGGCGCCTGCTTGGTGCTCTCGTCGATCTCCTCGCGACGGCTGTACCTCGAACGGTCCTCCAGATAGTGGATCTGCTCGAGACCCGCCTCGTTCTGGGTCACCGTGACGATCTGCTCGCTGCTGCGGCACTGCAGCTCCACTTGGGTCTCGTCGGAGCCAATCAGATTGACGGCCCGGCAGGTGTAGATGCCCGAATCCTCGGCAATCAGGTGGACAATATCCAAAGCCACATAGCCAAAATCATGGATGGGACGGAAGCGATGACCCACGGTGATGGGACGTCCGTTCTTGAACCATTCGACCTTCAGATTGGGATCCGTGACGGGTTCAATCTTGCACTCGAAATGGGCGTGGCCGCCCTCGCGGGTGTTGGTCAGGCTCTTGGGTTGCGTGAGGAATCGCGGACGGATGTTGACGACCTCATCCACCTCCACGTTGCGACGGTACCGGGATGTATCCTCCAGATAGGCGATCTTTTGCAGGCCCGACTCGTTCTGGGTTTCCAGGATCAGGTCGTTCTTCGAGGTGATCCTCACGGAGCAGGAGGTGACGGCCTCGCCGAGCTGATTCCTCGCCTGGCACGTGTACACCCCCGAATCGATGGCATAGCAGCCCAAGAGATCAAGGGCCACGTAGTCGAACTCGTAGGCGGGACGGAAGCGATGGCCCGTCTTGACGGGCTTGCCGTTCACGAACCATTCGATACGCATCGAGGGATCCCCCACGGGCTGCAGGCGGCACTCCAGATGGACATTGGTGCCCTCGACGGTCTCGATGTTGTGCAGCGCCCGCGTGAACTGTGGCGCCTGCATCACGGTGATGTCCTCCTCGCGATGCTGCCGACGACGCGAGTCCTCCAGCAGTTGGATCTGCTCCAGGGACTGTTCGTTCTGGGTCTCCGTGACGACATCCGTGCGGTCGATGACCCGCACACAGGCAGAGGTGTGGGCCGTGCCCAGGTGATTGGTGGCACGTACCGTGTACTCTCCAGAGTCCGCGGCCGTGGCCTTGATGATGTCCAGAGCCACAAAACCGAAGTCGTAGTAGGTCCTGAAGCGAGAGCCCACTGTCACGGGGCGGCCATTGTGGAACCACTCGACGCGCATGGTCGGATCACCCATGGGCTCCAGACGGCACTCCAGATGGATGTTCTTGCCATCATGGATGGGCTTGGGATCGGCCAGGGGCTGGACGAACACGGGCTTCGACTTGGAGATCTCCTCAATGTCGTACTGGGGCTCCACGAATGGCTTGTTCTCCAGATTCTGGGTCTTCTCGTAGAGGCCACGATGCATGCTAGATGTGTCGATATTGGAACGAGCTGCGAAAGGGAACAAAACAGAGGATTAGATGGTTAGGGAGGGGATGATTCTCCAGAGAATTGGCATGTTTTCTGTACGTACTTTCCACTACCATCGTTGCCTGCAACTGAGCTTCACCTAGCTTGTTCCTGGCCACCACCAGATAGACGCCCGCATCCTCGGCCCTCACTTGGGATATGTCAAGGGCCACGTAGCCAAAATCGTAGTACGTTTGGATGCGATTGGCGGCCGTGATCGAGCGTCCGTTGTGGTACCACTCGATCTGCATGCCCAGATCGCTCTGGGGCTCCACGCGTGCCTCGAAGTGGGCGCGCTGGCCCTCCAGGATCTTGGTGGTGCCCTTCATGGGCCCCAGGAAGCGGGGAGCCTGATTGATGCAGATCTCCTCCTCCTCGCGGCGCCCGTAGCGCGAAGAGTCCTCCAGATGTTGGATCTTCTGCAGACCCCCGGGGTGCTGCGACTCGGAGACGATTTCATTCTTTGAGATGACCGTCAGCTGGGCCACGGTGGTGTCCTGGCCCATGGCGTTGTAGGCGCGACAGGTGTAGGTTCCTGCATCGTAGATGGTCAGCTGCTTGATGGTCAGCGCCACGTAGCCGAAGTTGTGGTAGGTGGTGATGCGGCTGCTCGCCTCCAGGGGCTGGCCGTCCTTCAGCCACTCGACGCGCATGGTCGAGTCGCCGACGGGCTCGAGGCGCGCCTCAAAGTGCGCATGCGCGTGCTCCCGCAGATCGAGCTGGTTCTGGATGGGCGTCTTGAACTGCGGCGGGGCAATGGCCTCGGGGGCCTCCTGGACATGACGACGCTGCTGGGACTTGCTGCGATAGTCCTCCAGCTGCTCGGTCTTCTCGATGTAGCGCTGCTGCTCGGGTATGCCCAGATCGGCGGTGACCTGAGAGCGCACATGGACGCGGATGATGGACTGACTGATGGCCTCGCCAATGCGATTGACGGCGCGCACAGTGTAAGTGCCAGAGTCCTCGGCTCTCAGGTGCAGGATGTTCAGGGAGACGTAGCCGAAGTTGAAGATGGCCGTGATCCTGGAACTGGCCGTAATGGGCAGGCCATCCTTGTACCACTCCACGCGCATCGAGGGATCGTTGACGGGCGTCACCTGTGCCTCGAAGTGCACATTCTTGCCCTCCTCGAACTCGCCCAGATCGCGCAGCGGGCGTATGAACTGCGGAGCCTGGTTGAGTTGCTCCTCGGAGCTCTCCTGGCGCTGGTAGCGCGAATAGTCCTCCAGCTGCGAGATGTACTGCACGCTGTTCGGATTCTGCGACGACTGATCGATGGACGGACGCTGAACCACCGAGAGAATGGCCCGGGACTCGGCCACGCCACTGGCATTGCTCACGCGGCACATGTATTCCCCAGAATCGTGGCCCATGATGCTCAGCAGATCGAGAGCGATGAAGCCAAACTTGAAGACAGATGTGGCACGGGCACCTAAAGAAAGACAGGCGATCAATATAGGAGTTTGCCTGGATGATCGGTGTACTTACTGGCTGCCAGGGGACGTCCATTGAGGTACCACTCGACGACCATTGTGGGATCGCCGACGGGCTCAATGCGCGCCTCCATATGGACGCGACCGCCTTCGGTCTGCTGCACATTCTGCAGCGGGATAATAAACTGCGGCGGCGGATACACGCGGTCCTCCTCGCCAGGACGCAGATGGGGCTTGGCGCGCTCCACGTGGCGCAAGTAGATGATCTCGGGGCCAGGAATGGGCCTACAACAAGAAGGATATCCATGAGTATCTATGGGATGCACAGGTATCTGTGTCTTTTTTACTCACTCTGGCTCGATCACTTTGGTGGGTCTTGGGAGATTCAAACGCCTCTGTTCTTGCGACGGCTGCTCTCGGGGCACTTCCACATAGAGCCTGGCCCGGTTGGCCGTGGATCCGGCAATATTCTGAGCCGTGCACTGGTACCAGCCGGCGTCCGTGGCCTGGACACGCGGTATCTCCAGACAGGTGGCGCCCCCATCAATGCCCACAAATCGCTCGGCCGTTGAGGAGATCTGAACGCCATCCTTCTGCCAGGTGATGCGCGGCAGGGGCGTGCCAATGGCATTGGCACTCATCGTGATGGGTTCGCCCTCGCGGACAGTCATCGTGCTGAAGCGCTGAACAAATTGCGGTGCAACAACCTGTTCCTTCTCCAGCACATTCAACTGCGCCTCGATGGCCACCTCGCCGGCCTTGTTCCGGGCCAGGCACTGGACAGCGCCGCCATCCAGCCGGGTCACGTTCGTGATCATCAGCGAGTGGCTGCCCGATTCGTTCACGAGAATCTTGTGCGAGGCATCGTCGCGCACTTGACGGCCATTGATGAACCAGAAGACCTCCGGATAGGGATTTCCAGTCACCCTACAGTCGAATCGCGTCATGCGTCCTTCGGTTACCTCGCGATCGGCAAAGGCCTTGACGAACGCCGGGGGCAGGGCCTTGCCCGCCTCCAGCTGCTCGGCCATCACGTCCACGGACTTCGGCTCGTAGGCAGACTCCGCCGCAGGCTCCACGGCCAGGACGGCAGAGGAGACGACACAGCCCTGGAAATTCTCGGCCAGCAGGGTGTAATGGCCGCCGTCCTTGGCGGTGGCATTCTTCACGCGCAGCGTGGCCACGCCGCTCGAATAGGAGATCTCGTACTTCTGAGACGCCACCAGACGCTGGCCGTTGTGGAACCACGTGAGACGGGGCTTCGGGTTGGAGCCCACGCGGGCGGTGAACACCGCATCGGAGCCCTCAATGAGCTTCGAGCTGCGCGGCTTCTGCGAGATTTGTGGGGCGTGCGCAGGGCCCAGGGAGCGGTCGAGCTCCTGGGAGAGCTGGGAGTCCAGCTCGTAGCCAGAGCGACGGGTGATGGCCTCCCGGAAGGAGACCTCGCGCAGCAGTCTATACTCAAAGGTGTCCACGCGGAACTCCTCCTCGATGGACGTGTACGAGTACCCGTTCGAGTAGATGTTCTTCTCCAGATTCTGGATGGGCTGCTGCATCGCTGGCATCGGTGCCCCCTCCGGCTGGATGTAGACACTGCAGATGGCCTCCCCGTACTGATTGCGAGCGGTGCAGGTGTACTCGCCCTCATCCCCGGGCCCGATCTGATTGATCAGCAGCGAGACATCGCCGGTGGCCTCGTTGTAGCTCATTCGGAACTTCTGGGACTCGAGAAGTGGTGCGCCTTTTCGGGTCCAGGTCACGAACGGCTTCGGATTGCCACGCAGCCGTCCCTCGAACAGGGCATTGCCGCCCTGAGCGAAGCGAGCGTTCTTGAAGATCTGCTCGAACACCGGCGGCGAGATGTCGCCCTGGGCATAGACGTGTGTCAATGCGGGGGGCACGTAGTTGATGCCACTGCCGCCGCCAATGATGGTGCCACCGCCAGAATGTTGTTGGACTGAAAGATAAATTCCGATTAGAATTTTTGTGATTTTTGATAGCCGGCAATGAGAGCAACAAAATTATGTGGGTTCAAGGCATAAATAGGGGATTTATAGGCAACAAAAAATACACAAGAGGGAGATTTAAACCTGGAAAGTCTTTCCTTTTTGGGTGCAAAAGATTCCACAAAGAAAAGAGTGTCCAGCGTTACAAATTGTATGAAAAACCATCGAAATGGTATTTACTACAATTTATCTTTTAAATACCATCTATGAAACGTATATAATTTTAATTATTTCTAAAATAAATCCAAAAATTAGAATTTCCAAGTTTGTGCCTCAAGTAAAACTTAAGGATAACTTCCACCCCAAAGGTCCTTAAACCTTATTTTAAAATTCATTAACTTTAAGTGAACTTCAAGTTCATTTACTCGTCGATTAGTATCTCTGAAAGGGTAAAAGTTAACTTATTTGTAGAGTTGGCACATGAATGGAACTATTTATAGTGGGGATCATCCATAAGCAAACACTATCTATAGGTGCGAAGCATCTAAAAGTGTGCCTGCATATCTGTAGATTGTTTGTATTCTATCTAGAAGAATTTGTTTATCAATTGTATCTCTAAGAAGTGTGTCATTAGCGTAAGGTACTTGTAGATACATATGTATGTGGTATGTGGTATCTACAGGTTGACGACTTCCGAAACAGCTGATTGAAAGAGCACGCACCATTCGAAAGGTAAACAAATTTTGAGAAACAGCTGTCTCTCTATCTTCCTGCCTCTCTGCTTTCTCTTTGGGGTCTGCTCTCCCGCAAGCACCGACCGATCGTATAAGAGACGAGAGAGTATATCCTACTCACTCTTGCCCACAGCTGAAATGTAAACAAATTTCTTGGCATCGCACGACGACTCTTATACGCCCATAGATATAAGTAGATAAAGTATCTATATGTAGGCAGTATCCGTATATGTGTGTCAGTGCAGTCTTATGGGATCTTGGCAGATGAAAAGATAAACCTATAAATAGTCTGCCGAATTTTGTTACGAATTTCGACTGCCTGATCATCAATTAAGATTTAAATGATGAAACACCAGTTGACACATGAATATAAATATATTATGTACGAGTTGGAACACCAGTTGACACATGAATATAAATATATTATGTACGAGTTGGAAAAGATTCTTTTTCCCTTTCTCCCTTCCCGAGTGTTTGTTCTTGGGTTTCTTTCGGGACATTTTAATGATATACTTATATATATTTATATAAGAAGGTGTGCATATGTGTATATTGAGAATATAAATGTTTAAAGTGTAGAGAAATATTTATGAATATTTTCTTCAAATATTTCTTTAGTATATTTATTGGTTTTAGCTGTAGGAAATACGATTTATCTTGAACTTATTATCCAATAAACATTTCTAATGCTCTGTATTTTCTCATTTTTCGCAGTTTTCCTTTGTCGGGATTTTGTTTATTGCAATGGATACGTTTCTGGTAAGCTTTTTCCATCTGTTTACATTGAAATTACAGTATAAATAAATGCAGAAATTCTTGAATATTAGATTTTTACGTTTTAGATTTTCCCCTGAATTCTATGGCTCTTTTTTCATTGATTCTTGGTAAAATAACTCCCTACAAAAGGGATGAACAATAGGGATATGGAATAGGGACGATTTTAACGTTTCAACGATCCCAAAATGGCTGAAACTTTCCAGAGCTCTATAAAGAAAGTGGAGCGGAGAAAATGGTGTACTCTAAAGGAAATTCAATCTTTTTCGGGGTTAAAATAAATATCGAAAAAGCTATAGGATGCTCTTCCGTTTTCTATGAAAAGAAACGACTCTATGAGACCCAATAAAATGAGACGATCCAGCCTCAAGCCTATCCCAAAATCTATCCCCTAATTGTTCTGAAATAAATGTAAAAAATAGATGTAAGCCCCCAAATAGATCGCAAGGCACAAATGAAACCAACGATTGATTCGGTGGGGCCGCATGCAGTAAAGGACATTTTCAAGGTCACTTTTGGTGAAATAACAAGCAGGATGATGAAAAGCTCTTTGCGTCTGCAGCAACGGGAGGAAGAGTCGCCTCATTGCGGAACAGTGGGGATTCTAAATCCACGGTGTGAATCCCCACTGAAGCCTTAAGGGTGGAGCCTTCCCCCCCCCCCCGCCGCAATGAATGAACCCCTGCGCGTGGACTGACCTCGTTGCTGGGTGCTGGTGATTTGACTCCTCTGAACATGCTGTTCGGTGCGGCTAATCCTTTGCTGCTGATGCTGCTCCTGGCTGGAGTGCGAGTACTCCTGAGTGGAGTACTGCTGCTGGTGCTGCTGCACTTGTTGCTGCTGCTGCTGCTGCTGCTGCTGCTGCTGGTAGGGGTTCGGATTTTGTCGTTGCATTTTGTTGCTTCGTTATATATCACTGATATACTATCATTTGACAAATGACAACCAAATCAGGAATGCAGATGAAACTGCACTTGAAGAATGGAACACCTCTCGATCACTTTTCTCTTTTTTGATTTGCTTCTTCACTTGATATACTTTTTCTATTTTTATATATATTTATCTATGTATCTTTGATCTCGCTTCTTTATGATGCTGAAATCGAATACAGCGCAGCGTCGGGCAGGAGCAGCAGCAAGAGCAGGGGGGCAAGAGATGGAGAAGAAAAATCACATTAAATTCAACGAAACCAAAAAAAAACAACCAAAAAACCAAAATTAAATTTCCAAAAAAAATGTTTATGCATTTTCACTTTTTATTCGAGTTTCGAGAGATACAGATACACATTTGTCACTGCCACTTTTTGGCAAACATTTATTATGTCTGTCGTTCGGATTTTGTATCTTTTACTTGATTTACTTTTATGCATGGACCTGTCACACGGTTTTTGTTTAATAGATCTCTCTCTCCGTGTCTCTGTCTCTGTCTCACACACACACACACACACACACACTTTGATTTTCTTTCGATATAAATCAGATCTAAAGATCTTTCTTCTTCATATTCATATTCCTTGGGCTGTGAGGCATTTTCCCCAACTATTTTTAGCACCACTGCGACACATACAGTCTCCCCAAAAAGCACATGCACAGGCACACAAACAAAAAAAACACACACACACACACACATACACATACACATCGGATCGGTGGTTCGGTGGTAGCTTCTTATTTTTCACTGGTGCTATTAATAAACGTTTTTTCTTATAAAAAAAAAAACAAAAAACAATAAAAAAAATTGGTTTGAACTCCTTTTTCCCACAGAGAGGGAGAGGGAGAGGCATTATCCCAGCTCGAGCGGCCTGTAATCCTTGCCAGGATCAGCCAGGATAATGTCCGCATGCATATGTACACTCCCTGATATATGTATATGTTTTGTTCCTATATTTATAGCATATACATATATATATATGTATGCATATATCTCTTGATATCTGTGCTTGCACACGATTTCACAGTACATTCATTGGATTGGGTGCGGACCACCACCGAAAACCGAAAACCGAAACCAAACGAAACGTTACGATCCGATACGATCCGATACGATGCGATACGATCACCACGTAGCACACACGACGACCGAAGGCACCACCGCTCGTGTGATATTTTTAGATATTTAGCGCACTGAAAAATTCTTTCGGAATTTCTGATCTTTTTTTTTTGTTGTTTTTTTTGTTTTTTTTTTTTTTTTTGTTTTTTGCTTCTTGTTCGAAAAGTGGTTTCGTAACCAGAGAAAATGTTCATCATTACTTTTTTCCATTCACTTGATTTTGATCCTTACTTTATGAGATCTTGTTATCCTTTCGATGTTCGTGTGTGCGTGTGTGTGTGCGTGGGTGTGGGTGTGCGGTTGGCGGTTGTACAATACAAAAAAAAAAAAAAAAACTAAACTCTTTATCGATATATCCGTACCGTATGTGTGCGCGTATATATACGATATATATAGAGATATATGTATATTCTTTTACCAAAAAAAAATATCTATTTTCAAACTGTTTCAAGTCATAATCCCCGAGACTGAAACCAAGACACGTCGATCGTTTGTGAGGTGCGAGCGAAGAATGACAAAATCTTGTTGAGAATGCGATCAAATAGCTCCGCGCTGCACACACGACACGATCTCGTGCCCACGATCGCCTAACCGAAGCGAGGAGAGCCAGAAGCGAAGCGCCATATGCCACAGCCGAACAAGGTTCGGTGGGGTTCGGTGGGGTTCGGGTGCCCACCGCTCCATATGATATATTTTTGCACTTTCCATGCGCTTGCTGTTGTTGTTGTCGGGGAAAACGCTCTCTTCGATGATGCGCTCTGCGATGCTACCGATGATGCACTACACATGTCACTGCGGGGCATATCATTTCGAGAGAGAGAGAGAGCGTGAGATGCAGAGAGATCCTAGGGGGTCCTTGCAGATTTCGTATGCCTCTGAGCTTTTCAAAGAGGAGAGTCTTGTATCTAAAGATAGTTTTCAATTAAAGTTGCTGTGAGTCTTGCAACCCCAAAACAGATCCATCGAAAACCATATGCCAAACAGGCATTTGGCTTTTAGTTTCCCCAAAAGAGATCTCTGCTCTCTCGAGAGAGATCCCCCTCCATAGTGTCTCTCCCTCTCTCTGGTGTGTTCTCCTGGTGGGTTTTCTTCGGAAAGTGTTCGGGTTTTGAGTAAGTTGGCTAAAAATATATGGCGATTTATTTTTGACACGTATTTTTCAACATTGTCTGCACAAAACGAAGAAAATCAAGAAGAGCCATCCCAGAGAAATTCTAGATACAAATGCATACACACGGCACAGATTTAAATATATCTATTGATTCCAGATATATGTGTGTACGCTGCAAAGATAGATGCAATCCTTATGTTCTGGATGCCACAGGATGTATTCATCAGATTGGATAAATAAATATTCGTTGCATTCGCATGTGGAAATAATATTATAATTTAGGATACGATTCGTGTGCGATTCCTCCCTCCTCCCTCCACATATTTTCCACATAATTTATTTTATTTGTCTAAAATTAAAACCACATACGATAGATAGATAGATAGATGGATATATATAAAATGTTGGCTCATTCGCCCCCAGTGTCCCGATATATACGGGCCACTTCTTGATTATTCATTCTCGTGTGTCTTAATCATCAGCCTAGAGGTGTTTCGGGTGACCAATTGATCGCGAATGCGGCTACTTTCTATTTCATTTTGGCCTATTTCATTCAGAAATAACACTCGCTTTAGATACAAATTGCACCTAAAATGCTTGGCTCGGATCGGCTTTGGATTTTTGTCCATATTTGGCCAACAGACAGACAGACGGACGGACAGACATAGCCTTTGGCTGTGCTTTTTACGGCAACCCGGTTTTCAATGGTCATGCAATATTGTTTTTATTTTTATTTTTTATTTTTATTTCTATTTCTTTTTATTGTTGCACTCAAATTAATTGTTAACATGGACAGAGAGCTACTGCAACTCGTAGTTGTACTGTCGGTGGCATGCTACAGTGGCAGCACTCATTAAATTACAAAAACTTGTGTGTGAGATTCTACGGGTATCTTGGAAGTGGTCGAAAGGCGGACTAGAGACCAGAGACTGGAGACTGGAGACTGGAGACTAGAGGCGCAGCCAGGCGCAGCAGACGGCAAAGTTTCGACTGTCACCGACACAAGATACAAATGTATCTACCCCATTAAAATGCTACTAAAAGATAAGCTGCAGCCAGCCAGGCAGCCAGGCAGCCAGGCAGCCAGGCAGCCGCACGCATCTCTTGGCCAGCACTTTTTCCACTTCTTCTGGTTTTAGACAGTTAGAGGCCGGTTCTGCAAGCCAGCGATGCGCCACGATCCGACGCACTGGCAGCTGTCTCTGAGATTAACAGCACTTATCTCTCCACACCAGAACGAAAGCTGTATCTACAAGTGGCATAGAATCTGTATCTTATCTGTATAGTATCTCACAGAGAGAAGGATGGAGAGGGGGAGAGAGGGAGGGAGAGATGCTGGCGAAAAAATACCCATCTTATTATGTCATTTTCTGCTTCAAGAAAGAATTTCAAGGAAAAAAACATTTCACTTTGCTTTTAATTAGTATTATTAATTGTTTGGTAAACATAATTAGACAGCTGCTGGGACTGTGGATTAGATGCTTAATTCTAGTACATATATTAGTTCAAAAATTAGTAGGGATTCACGCGTTCTCTCTCGTGCGTTGGGGTTGGGGCGGGGGGGAGTTTTGCTCTGGCATTCAATTTACTGCAAACAAGAGAAAGAATTCAAGTTCAATTAACGTCAAGGAACAGAACATCAAAGGATGATGATCACAACAGATGCTGATGCAGATGCAGATGCAGATACAGATGCAGATGCAAAGATGAGTTGACACTGGAGTATGAGAGGAATCATGCAACATGCAGCAGAGGGGGACCCCAAGCAGAGACCCAATCCCATCTTAAAGCTATAAATACACACACACACACACACACACACACAGATTTTGTGGCAGGCATCCCAGAGATGTAATGAGTCGCATAAGCAGAGCAAAGCAGCGATGCAGCCAAGAGCTGCCCCACAATGAGGCAGTCGTCTTGTTTTGGCATCAAATTTCGCGACCACTGCAGCTTGCCCCCAGTCCCTGGCCCCCACCACCAAACCCCAAGCCAATCCATTCAGCAAAACCATAAAACCGAAACGAAACGAAACGAAACGTCGACGATGCCGAGAGACCGAGGAGCTGCATGCCAAGCGGCAATTTACGTATAAAATGTCCAAATGTGGTTGACTTTAACTCACAGAAAAGACTCAAAAGACTCGCAAGACCCTGCCAGACCCTGCCAGACCCTGCAAGGCGGGTGGCATAACTCATTTTCCACATTTCGAACGGTTTATCCTCAAAGTAAGCGCCAAAGAATGTATTCAAATCGTAATCTAATCGAGAATTGTGCCTGATATTCGAAATATGGTGGAAAGGTGGAGAACATTGCAGAAAAAATTGCATTCTCGGAAAGGATTGTTTATCTTATTTCCCTATTCTATAAATTCAACACATTCCCCATACTTTTAGATACATTTTACAGATACTTTAGAAGAAAAACTTGTACTAAAACCTTTTTGAAAACTCCAAAATGAAATATCTTTTAAATATATATAAGAATATTGTTTTCCTCTTTAAATGATATTGTTTTTCCAATCAGAAATGTTTTACCAAGAAGTATCTTGAATTTACTGAAAGATACTTATGCTTGAAGTGCAACTAAAACCTTTTCAAAGTCCCTAAAATGCATTGAACTTTGAATGAGACTGCATCTAGAAGTTCTTCTCTCCCTGATCTCTCTTTTATCTGCACCCTGATATTTGATCTATACTCGTATCTGATTTGAAAGGGTATTCCCTTAATCGACCTTCTCTGAAATGCTAGCCCCTTCTGCTCGCTGGCGTTTTCCTATCAATTGTTTATACAATTAGACACACGAGCCGCAGTGCCAGAGGCCTCGT